TCTATTATTGTCTTTTCTCTTTTTCTTCTTTTAATTGATATATAATTCCCATGTCATAAAATATACCATTTTAAAGTATATAATTCAGAGGTTTTAAGTATATTCACAAAGTTGTACAACTATCATTGCTATTCATAACAATACATTTACATCATCCCCAAAAGAAATCCTGTACCCATTAGCAGTCATTCCTTTTATCCCTACCCCCTGTCCTTTGGCAAATACTAATCTACTTTCTGTCTTTATGGATTTGCCTATTCTAGATATTTCATATAAACAAAATAATATGATATGCGGCCTTTTGTGTTTGGCTTAATGAAGCATAATGTTTTCAAGATTCATTCATGTTAGTATGTAGCATGTAACAGTACTTCATTTCTTCCTATGGCTGAATAATATTCCATGTTTTGTTAACCTCTTCATCATTTGTTGGACATTTGGGTTGTTTCCACTTTTTCCTATTATGAGCCATGCTTCTATGAAGTTTCACCTACTACCTTTTAAATATGTTCTTTTAGAGTATCTGCCATCCATAGGGCTTTCATTTCAAACACTATCTTTAATTTCCAAGATTTCTAATAGAGTTTTTTGCCACTGCCAATACAATGGCAGTGTATTCTTATTTCATGACTTCTTTTTATATTTGAGGATATAAAATATAGAGCAGCTATTTAAAAAAATATATTTATTTTTAGCATGCTGGGTCTTTGTTGCTGCGCATGGACTTTCTCTAATTGTAGTGAGTGAGTGCTACTTTTTTTTTTTTAAATTTTAATTGGAGGCTAATTACTTTACAATATTGTGGCGGTTTTTGCCATACATTCACATGAATCAGCCATGGGTTTACATGTGTTCCCCATCCTGAATCCCCCTCCCACCTCCCTGCCCATCCCATCCCTCAGGGTCATTCCCAGTGCACCAGTCCCGAGCACCCTACCCTATCTCATGCATTGAACCTGGACTGGCACTCTATTTCACATATGATAATATACATGTTTCAATGCTATTTTCTCAAATCATCCCACGTGAGGGCTACTTTTAACAAAAAGTCGTGGACTCAAGGGACTCAGTTGTTGTGGCTCATGGGCTTACTTGCTCATGGAAGTGGAATCTTCCTGGACAAGGGATCAAACCTATGTCCCCTGCAATGGCAGACCAATTCCTATCCACTATACCACCAGGCAAGTCCTACAGCACTTATTTTAAAGTTCCTTTCAGGTGGTTTTATTAATTCTGTTTCCTCTGGTATGCACTCTATTGGTTGATATGTGTCATATTTTTCATGTTATTGGTCTTTGTTGGTTGGTAATTTTTAGTTAAGAGCTGATTGTACATGATCCCTTTGTCCTGAACACATCCTGCATTGCAGCCTTCCAGTAGGAGGTTCTCTGGATTGCTGAGCCCTTATCGGCAGGGCCTATATCTTGGACTAAAACTTTGCTTAAGTGGCAAGATAAAAACACTCTGTATCTTAATAGAATATTACTGTTCTGAGTCTCATCTGCATTTACATTCCATGGCTCTAAGGCCCTTATCCTGCATCACTAATGCTGCTGCTAGCATCACTTGACTTGTAACCAACCCTCAGGTAGACAGGTACCAAATCTTTGGCTTTTGTTCATGTTTTGTTCTGTCTGTGGCCTCTGTGGCTCTTGGTTTTAAACCTGTTGGTGTTGCAATATTGGCCCCATGTTTTTTTTCCAGTCCATGCCCCAAACATGGGACATCTCTTGTCCTTACTTACCACTGTGGACTCTCTCTTTTTCATTTCTGAAGATCAAGGAAGAATACAAAATGGAGTACAAAATGAAATACAAATGTATACCTTGGAATACAAAATGAAGCAGGGCAAAGGCTAACAGTTTTGCGAAGAGGATACACTGGTCATAGCAAACACCCTCTTCCAACAACATAAGAGACGACTCTACATATGGACATCACCAGATGGTCAGTATCAAAACCAGATTGATTCTATTCTTTGTAGCCAAAGATGGATAAGCTCTATATGGTCAGCAAAAACAAGACCGGCAGCTGACTGTGGCTCAGATCATGAATTCCTTATCGCAAAATTCAGACATAAATTGAAGAAAGTACGGAAAACCACTAGGCCATTCAGGTGTGACCTAAATCAAATCCCTTATGATTATATAGTGGAAGTGACAAATAGATTCAAGGGATTAGATCTGATAGGCAGAGTGCTTGAAGAACTGTGTATGGAGGTTTGTAACTTTACACAAGAGGCAATGATCAAACCATCCCCACGAAAATGAAATGTAACAAGGCAAAATGGTTGTCTGAGGAGGCCTTACAAATAGCTGAGAAAAGAAGAGAAGCTAAAGGCAAAAGAGAAAAGGAAAGATATACCCATCTGAATGCAGCATTCCAAACAATAGCAAGGAGAGATAAGAAAGCCTTCCTAACTGAACAATGCAGAGAAATAGAGGAAAGACTAGAGATCTCTTCAAGAAAATTAAAGATACCAAGGGAACATTTCTTGCAAAGATGAGCACAATTAAGAACAGAAATGGTATGGACCTAGTAGAAACAGAAGAGATTAAGAAGAGGTGGCAAGGATACAAAGAACTATACAGAAAAGATGTTAATGACCTGGATAACCACAGTGATGTGATCACTCACCTAGAGCCAGACGTCTTGGAGCGTGAAGTCAAGTGGGCCTTAGGAAGCATTACTACAAACAAAGCTAGTGGAGGTGATGGAATTCCTGCTCAGCTATTTCAAATCCTAAAAGATGATGCTTTTAAAGTGCTGCCCTCAATATACCAGCAAGTTTGGAAAATTCAGCAGTGGCCATGGGACTGAAAAAGGTGTTTTCATTCCACTTCCAAAGAAGGACAATGCCAAAGAATTTTCAAACTACCGTACAATTGTGCATATTTCACATGCTAACAAAGTAATGCTCAAAATTTTCCAAACCAGGCTTCAACAGTACGTGAACTGAGGAACTTTCAGATGTTCAAGCTGGATTTAGAAAAAGCAGAGGAACCAGAGATGAAATTGCCAATATCCATTGGATCATAGAAAAAGCAAGGGAATTCCAGGAAAACATCTACTTCTGCTTCATTAACTATGCTAAAGCCTTTGACTGTATGGACCACAACAAACTGTAGAAAATTCTTGAAGTGATGAGAATACCAGACCACCTTACCTGTCTCCTGAGAAACCTGTATTTGGGTCAAGAAGCAACAGTTAGAACTGGGCATGGAACAACGGGCTGGTTCAAATTGGGAAAAGAGTATGTCAAGGCTGTATATTGTCACCCTGCTTATTTAACTTATATGCAGAGTACATCATGTGAAATGCCAGGCTGAATGAATCACAAGCTGGAATCAAGATTGCCAGGAGAAATATCAGTAACCTCAGATATGCAGATGACACCACCCTAATGGCAGAAAGTGAAGAGGAACTAAAGAGCCTCTTGATGAAGGTGAAAGAGGAGAGTAAAAGGCTGGCTTAAAAATCAGCATTCAGAAAACTAAGATCATGGCATCCAGTCCCATCACTTCATGGCAAATAGATGGGGAAACAATGAAAACAGTGACAGACTTTATTTTCTTGGGCTCCAAAATCACTGCAGATGGTGACTGCAGCCATGAAAATTCAGGACTGATATCCTTGAGGATTGACTGGTTTGACTAATTAAAATTGATTTCCGCCCAAATAACTACTCATCCTTTAAGGAAATTCTTAAGATTTCTAGAGAATTCCAATTTATTGACAAAACTTCTTCTCATGTATCTACATTTGTTTTCCCCATTCTGTATTGTATTACTACTTTATAGGATTCAGGAACAATTTTTTCTTATTTCACAGAAAGGTAATTGAATCACAGGGAAAAAAAGGCGTTGCCCTAGGTCAGAAAGTCAGTCAGTGGTAAAACCCGAGTACTGATGCAACTCATCCTGATTTAGTGCCAATTTCATTAAACTTCAGTGCAGCGTAACCTTGCTGCCATATTATCCTGGGCTTTGTGACTGAATTGTGCTTGAAAAACAAACTAATGGCAAGAAAAATAGTACCTGTTAAGATTGGTAGCTAAAACTTGATCTTGGTAAAGTTCATACTTTCTGAGATGGTTAAAGCTTTATTAGATACATAGTACGAATGCTTTAGAAAAAAGTTGTGTCATTATTATAGGATATATTTTATTATTAAAATTTTAAAGTTGAATTCTTATATAGTATCAACATTGTCAGCATCATTTATAAGGTAGAACTTGTAGAGACTGATGTATCTTTATTCATATTTAATTTTCCATTTAACACTATTGTAGAGGGGGACTAAGAAATGGCATTTTATAAAATAAGAAATTTGGTTTTTTTCCCTTTATAATATTACTGCCAGAGTATAGAAAGTAGGAAAGATAGTGCATACTTTGAAGTTCTGTTTGTTGAATATGATCCAGGACACACTGATGCTTTGTGTAAAGAGTTCTAAATTGATGTATATAAATATACCAAGTAGTTAATTGACAATTAAATTAGCAAAAGTTTGCTTTTCTTTATTAAAGACTATCTCTTAAAGGACAGACCATACAGTATTAGGTCAATGCCTGAGAGGGTCATTCTTGAATTTTTCTGCTTTAAGTTCTAAGTTAGCTCACTTACTGGATTTGTATTATTAAACAGTGAATTGATTTATTAAAAAGTATAAGAATATCAGTTAGAACTAGCAGCTCAGAAGATTTCTGGCATTGGATATGACCTTGTGGAAATGAATTGAAAATACAAATTGATATAGTGAATTTTCAATTTGTGTAAAATTGAAAACATGAGATTAAATATCTTAACCCCATAAAGTAATTCTAAATGTTCAATCAGTTTGCTGATTCATAGCCATTTCCAGTTGTATTTAAAATTCTGCAGATAATCTTTTCATCAGGGAAAAGCCTTCTTGACTCATCAGTTTAATGGACAACTGCAGAAACTATGGTGCTTATCCAAACTGCTTATTCTCTGTTGTTGCCATTTCTTCTCACACAGATATGCAATCCATACTGCCTGGATTCTTTGCAAACCTGAATTGGACTTCAGAGGAGGCCAGCCATTCTCAGGATACATCAGGGCTAAGACCCTTCCAGGTGATTTTTGAGGCAAGTTTTGCTATGGTTCTATAAATTAATGGTGTTTTGATTCTTATTTTTCTACAAATGTGATAACAGGAAAGAAAAGCTTAGGTCCTTTATAGAACAAAGTTGAAATAAGGCATTGGTCCCCAGACTTCCCTAACAGATTTTAAATCACTTAGAAGTTTTGAAAATGGTGATGTTTGTGTTCTACTCTAAGAGGTTGTGATTTAATTGGTCTTGGGTGTTGGATTAGTCTGCTTGGGCTGCCATAAAAAAAAATACCACATGTTGGGTGACTTAAACAACAGAAACTTATTTTCTCATGCTTCTTCATGAAGTTGCAAGTCCAAGTTCAAGGTATCTTGTCACCATTTGCTCACCTGATCTTTCCTCTATACATATGTGGAGAGAGAGCTTTCTGGTGTCTCTTCCTCTTCTTACATGGACAGTCCTATCAGATTAGAGGGCCACACTTATGACCTCATTTAACCTTATGACATCCCTAAGGCCCTGTCTCCAAATAAGTCAAAACAGTGGCTAAGGCTGCAACAGATGAATTTTGGGGAATACAATCCAGTCTGTAAGAGGTGTGGTCTCGGCTTTGGAATATTTTTAGAATCCCAGATAATTCCTAATGTGCAGGTGAATTTGAGAACCACTGAAATTTCAAAACCATTATTTGATTTTGGATCTCCTGAAGAAGAAAGCAAAAATGGATGCCCAGTGCAGATCCTATTTAAGTATTTTTATTAGGTTGGTTTAAAGATTTTTATTGATTTATTTGTAGCCCAGATTTGTGAGAGTGACAATTGAGTCCTCCATTCCCATTATCAATTCTCTAATCTTTCCTTTCTCTGAACTGGTGGAGACATAGACTATGTTAAACACTCTCCCAAAAAAGCACTTGGGGGGCTGTTCTCCATGTTGGAACAATTATACCCTTCTTCTAAAAGGAAATGAACATGGTATCAGGACAATAGATATGCCTGGCTGTGCCTATCTTGTTTAGGGGAATGAAGCGTAAATAATTTGGAGCAGTTAATGGTTAGTCAAACAGAGGCAAAGGAGAAGGGGGCAGCAGAGGATGAGATGATTGACTAGCATCACCGACTCAGTGGACATGTTGTTGTCCAGTCCCTCAGTTGTGTCCAACTCTTTGCAGCCCCATGGACTGCAGCATTCCAAGCTTCTCTTTCCTTCACTACCTCCTAGAGTTTGCTCAAACTCATGTCCATTGAGTCAGTGATGCCATCCAACCATCTCATCCTCTGTTATCCCCTTCTTCTCCTGCTTTCAGTCTTTCCCAGCATCAGGGTCTTTTTCAGTGAGTCAGTTCTTCCCATCAGGTGGCCAAAGTATTGGACCTTCAGCATCAGTCCTTCCAGTGCATATTCAGGCTTGATTTCCTTTAGGATTGACTGGCTTGATCTCTTTGCTGTCCAAGGGTCTTTCAAGAGTCTTCTCTAGCACCACAGTTCAAAAGCATCAGCTCAGCCTTTTTTATGGTCCAACTCTCACATACATACATGACTATTGGAAAAACCATAGCTTTACCTATATGGACCTTTATTGGCAAAGTGATGTCTCTGCTTTTTAGTACACTGTATAGATTTGTCATAGCTCTTCTTCCAAGGAGCTTTTAATTTCTTTTAATTTCAGGGCTGCAATCACCATCTGCAGTGATTTTGGAGCCCAAGAAAATAAAGTCTATCACTGTTCCATTGTTTCCCCATCTATTTGCCATGAAGTGATGGGGCCAGAAGCCATGATCTTAATTTTCTGAATGTTGAGTGTTAAGCCACCTTTTTCACTCTCCTCTTTCACTTTCATCAAGAGGCTCTTTAGTTCCTTTTCACTTTCTGCCATTAGGGTGGTGTTATCTGCATACCTGAGAGTGTTCATATTTTTCCTGGCAATCTTGATTCCAGTTTGTGATTCATCCAGCCCCGCATTTCATGTGATATCCTCTGCATATAAGTTAAATAAGCAGGGTGACAATATACAGTCTTGACGTACTCCTTTCCCAATTTGAACCAGTCCATTGTTCCATGTCTGGGTTGAACTATTGCTTCTTGACCCAAATACAGGTTTCTCAGGAGACAGATAAGGTGGTCTGGTATTCCCATCTCTTTAAGAATTTTCCACAGTTTGTTGTGATTTAGCATAGTCTTTAGCATAGTCAGTGGAGCAGAAGTAGATGTTTTTCTGGAATTCCCTTGCTTTTCTCCATGATCCAACAGATGTTGGCAATTTGATCTCTGATCCCTCTGCCTTTTCTAAATCCAGCTTGTACATCTAGAAGTTCTCAGTTCATGTACTGTTGAAGCCTAGCTTGAAGAATTTTGAACATTGCCTTGCTAGCATGTGAAATGAGCACAATTGTATCATAGTTCAAACATTCTTGGGTTTCCCTTGTGACTCAGCTGATGAAGAATCCGCCTGCAATGTGGGCGACCTGGGTTCAATCCCTGGGTTGGGACGATCCTCTGGAGAAGGTAAAGGCTACCGCTTCAGTATTCTGGCCTGGAGAATTCCATGGACTATACAGTCCATGGGGTCGAAAAGAGTCAGGGACTTGCACTTTCACTTTCGCTTGAACATTCTTTGGCATTGTGCTTCTTTGGGAGTGGAATGAAAACCGACCTTTTCAGTCCAGTGGTCACTGCTTAGTTTTCCAAACTTGCTAGCATATTGAGTGCAGCACTTTAACAGTGTCATCTTTTAGGATTTGAAATAGCTCAGCTGGAATTCCATCACCTCCACTAGCTTTGTTTGTAGTAATGCTTCCTAAGGCCTACTTGACCTCACACTGCAGGTGAATGACCACACTATCGTAGTCGTCCAGGTCATTAAGACCTTTTTTGTACCGTTCTTCTGTGTTTTCTTGCCACCTCTTCTTAATATCTTCTGCTTCTGTTAGGTCCTTGATGTTTCTATCGTTTTTTGTGCTCATATTTGCATGAAATGTTCCCTTGGTATCTGTAATTTTCTTGAAGAGATCTCTAGTCTTTCCCATTCTATTGTTTTCCTCTATTTCTTTGCATTGTTCACATAAGAAGGCTTTTTATCTCTCCTTGCCATTCTTTGCAATCTGCATTCAGATGAGTATATCTTTCTCTTTCTCCTTTGCATTTCAGTTCTCTTCTTTTCTCAGCTAGTTGTAAGGCCTCCTCGGAAAACCACTTTGCCTTATTGCATTTCTTGAATCTGAGCAAATTCTGGGAGATAGTGGAGGACAGAGGAGCCTGGCATGATGCAGTCCATGGGGTTGCAAAGAGTCGGAGAGGACTTAGCAACTGAAGAAGAAGAACAGTTATAAAACTATTCTTGTCAGGTAGCAAAAACAAAACAAACAAAAAGCCACTTGATTCCAGTGAACCAAGGAAAACAGTGCTAGAAAAGGAAATCATGTGTTTTACTCAGTCTGAACAAAAAGTGATAACTCTTATACCTAACGTAAGTATTATTTAAGCCTCCTGACAACTCTATGAAGTGGCTAGGACAAGAATTTCAGAGAATTTGACTGACTTTCCTAAGGTCATTCCATAATTAAGTGACAGAATCTGAATCAGAGTCTTACTCATATTGATCAGTGCTGTTTCAATATTTATTCATTCTATTAGATACCTGTGTTTGTTGACGATAGCTTCACTGTCCTAGAAAGAGTCCCAAGATGTTACTTGATCCCAAGGAATTTGCAATCTAGGAATATCAAGGAAATGATAGATAAGTAAAGAAATAATTACAATACAGTGTAATAGAGATTTTTCTGGGTATAAGGAGTTCAGAGATGAAAGAATAAAAAATTATCATCAGAGTGATAAAATTTCTCTTTTTTTCCCCTATTGCAAAAGCAGTGTTTCTCCCAAGAAAGTCAAAGTGTACATTGAGAGCACAGGTAATTTGACTTAATCAAGGTGCATGTCTGGGTTCATATCTTTTCACATAAGAGTGGGCTGTTTCAGTTTAAGGTTTCCAGAACAGTACACCTCCAGTCTATGGCTATGGGAATTGGTGATTGGAAATAAGTAGAGGTTGAGGTCATTGGAGTTGGGGAGGTCAGAGAATTTTGGGACTAAGTTCTCACCTAGACTGGTCATCTGCTTGGATGTGGAAGTCAACCAAGATGATGACAGGACTTAGAGTACAGAGGACAACTGAACTTAGTGCCAGTTAATCAGTTGGTGATAGGTGGGGAGAGGCAAGAGTGGTATAACCTCAGAGGAACAAGGATTTCCTGAAAGCATTTGTTCTGTTATATCTCATTGTCTTTGATACTGTGCAGCCTTTAAACGGATATTTGAATGAAGAGAATGAGTAGAGGAAAAGGGGAGGTTGTGAAAAGATTTCATCATACATGTATACTTCAAGTGGGGAGAAGGGTCAGGTAACAAGGTTTATAGCAAAAGTTGATGAATGGAGACATCCGTGAAAAGGCGATAATAAGTGATCCACTGCTTTGGGCATGTGGGGAAAGCTAATTCCAGGGAAGACTGAGGGAAAACTTCATTTAAGAGAGATGCTGAAAAAAAAAAAAAAAAAAAAAAAGAGAGATGCTGGTGGGACTTCCCTGGTGGTCCAGTGGTTAAAACTCTGCACTTCCAGTGCTCCCACTACAGGGGGCGTGCATTGAATCCCTGGTTTGGAAACTGAGATTCCACATGTGGTGCCAGGTGGCCAAAAATAGAAAAGGTTGCTCGGTTTTGTGTTTATGCTCAGTCCTGCACCTTGGAGTCCATTAGACTGGTTAATATGTCCTTCCAAAAACAATTTGATTTTGCAAGATCTTGACAGATTTATCCATTTTTGTATTCATTTTTGTTATAATAGTAAATGATACAATGACTGGAGATATCCATGTAGCCATAAAAACATCTATCTCTGTGTTTCTCTTATTATCGATCATCGGGGTACTTACCTATTTAAGCAAAGAAAGAGACACTGACATTCTCTTACAAAGTCATATAGAGGCCATAACTGCATAAGTTTATATTTAAAAATATAAAATACCTCCCATAATCTATCATGTGATTAGACTTAAAGGTATTTAAAGGTAACGACCGAAACATATGATTCAGTGGTAATTTCTGCTGCCCAGGAACGGCAGCATATTTTTTTCCTGACAACATATAAGTTCACTGTTTCTGAAGGTACATTAGGCCTGGGGTATTGGCTGTAAAAGACTGTGTAGTGTCTCTTCCTCCCTCCCCACATCTCTCTTTCTCTCAGTAATTTATGAGTCGGTCTTAAAAGGAGCTGTTTGTTTTGTGTTAGCTATCCTCTGCTGACCTGACATTATTTCACTTTATATTCTCAGTCTGGATTAGGTGCCAATCATTCCTGTGTATTTCTTTAGCTTCTCTTACATGTTTAAATCATAAAGCTTCTTCACATTATCTTATAAGTTATTTATTTCCTCTTTCTCTTCTTAAGTGTAACCTCTTCAAATTTAGAGCTGCTTTTACTTATCTCTGTAAGCCTAGGCACATAATAAACAACATTAAGTATTTTATCAATGAATAAATACATATACGTATTCGGTAATCATATGTAAGCATTGCCCATAAGGTTCCATAAGAAATAATAATAGATTACATAATATCTGATTCAGATAGCTATATGTACAAAAAATGAGCTTTCTTGGAGAGGTAGCCTGTATAGTGAAAGGTGGGCTTTGGAGTTACTCAGATCTAGGTTTGAATCCCAGTTCTGCCAGTTAATTAGCTATGTGTGACCTTGGACAACTTAATTAGCTTCTTTAGTTTCATTAGCCTCACCCATAAAATGGGAATATCTTCTACTTGTTTGTAAACTGCTTGGCATGTAGCAGGTGTTCAGTAAATGATAGTTCCCATCATTATTAATTGTAGAACCTTCCTGGTAACTTTTCAAGGAACTTTCACTTGGTTGCCTTACTGCTAGATATAATTAAGCCCTTTATATGATACACCCTATAATCACTAAGGTTACAGAAGTTTGAAACTGTTCCAAGAAGTTATTTTTGAAGTGTTAAGTATGGAAAATGCTTTAAAGAGACCATTGCTTTTCTGCATTTGAACACTTTATAATAAACATTTTAAAAATAAGGATATGACTGTGGTATGTATGCTACAGTTAGTGTTTAATTACTGCTACTTATACATGTTAATAATCCTAGATTTGTTTCCAGATTTTCTAATAATCCCCATACATTTTTCTAATATTTTCAAATATTTTTATGATAGTTATTCTAATCATCCCCACTCATTGTGCAGTTATTGATCTTTTTTCAGTGAACTTATAAAAAAGTATTACAATAGTTTATTCTTCTCTATTAGATATTTACATGTTTTTTCTTTATTGTGTTGAGATTTTGAAATCTGGGACCTTTTTTCTCCTTTAATAAGTACCTAGTTCATGACTCTGTATTCTCTGAGCCACTAATAAAAACTTACTGATTTCTGACTCTATTTCCTCTTCATTAACTTCTCTAGTTTCTAGGAGACACCTTCTAACTATGATTTTTAGGTACATTATGTTAAATGTAAAGGGCTTCCCTGATAGCTCAGTTTTTAAAGAACCTGCCTGCAATACAGGAGACCCCAGTTCAATTCCTGGGTCAGGAAGATCTTCTGGAGAAGGGATAGGCTACCCTCTCCAGTATTCTTGGGCTTCCCTTGTGGCTCAGCTGGTAAAGAATCCACCTGCAATGTGGGAGACCCGAATTTGATCACTGGGGTGTAGTATAGGAAAGTGGTTAAAGCTAAAGCCAGATCAGCAAGACCTTGGCAAGGTTGTTTAACCTCTTTGAACCTTTTTTTTTTTTTTTTAAATTTTATTATGGAGGGCTTCCCTTGTGGCTCAGCTGGTAAAGAATCCATCTTTTATGCACGGGAGACCTGGGTTCAATCCACTTTCATTCACTTTCTGAGCACAGACCTTCTGACTTTTGAGCTTCTGCTTTACAGCTTTTCCTTAAAAATAAATGTTTGGATGAACAGATTAAGGTTTAAAATTAGGTTCTTTTTAATGTCTGCTCCTTTGACTCCATTGAGATTCTTTGGCTTTTTAAATTTTATTTATTTATTTTTGGCTGTGCTGAGTCTTCATTGCTGACATGGGCTTTTCTCTAGTAGCGGCAAGCAGGGGCTACTCTCTAGTTGTGGTGCGTGGGCTAATTGCACTGACTTCTGTTGGTGTGGAGCACAGGCTCTAAAGCATATGAGCGTCAGTAGTGGTGGTGCCTGGGCTCTAGAGCACAGGCTCAATAGTTGTGGTGCACAGGCTTATTTGTTCCATGGCATGTGGGATATTCCTGGATCAGGGATTGAACCCATGTCTTCTGCATTGGCAGGCAGATTCTTTACCACTGAGCCTCCAGGAAAGCCCCACTGAAATTCTTAATACAGAGTAACCCTCACTAGGATAGTAGAGTTAAGCTAGAGTTACTCTTCTCAGCTCCAATCTTAATTACTTTTTTCCCCCTGGATGTCTGAAAAGGTTTCTGAGGTGTAGTTATTTTTATAAGAAGAAATACCATAATTTAATTCATTTGTGCTCTTGAGTTTGTGCTTATGTGGTGGATGTTTTTGTTATAGGCTGATGTAAACCCCAGGACTTTGATGACAGATAGTCTGGTTATAAAGAATTTTTTACGCAAAGTCATCTCTGTGCTCCCCAAGGTAAGCTGTTCTTTTTGCACAATAATGATTCTCTTGTTTAAGTCATGTGTTTTTAAAAGACCTCTACTCTGTAGGTCATGGGAGGATCTAATTGGTTCTCTTTCTTTTTATGACAGTGATTAAAAGTTTTAATATTGAATTGGTTTGGTTCCTGTATTTCTAAGACAGGCTTGGTATTTGCCATGTGACATCGTTGAGAGCCTGTGGATATAGAGAGAACTTTGTTTTAGATTCGTATTTTCACTACCTTACTGTTTTATTGTATTACTTTGAATTCCTCGTTTCCCTCCTCTGTGCTTCTTTTTTCTTTTAAACCTAGATAAGAAACTGCTGATTATCTCCTTCTTTTCTAAAGTGACTATAAGAGTAAATAAGGAACTTCTGACTTTAAACTCAGGAGAGCTAAAATTTTTATTATTACCTGTAGTTAGAAATGTTCATAACGTCAGCATAAGTGTGCTGTATAACTTCCCCTGTTTTTCTTGCAGGTTTCCTACTTTTTCTGTCTTAAGCAACATTCAGTATTTATTGTCAGCCAATCTCTATTCCAAGTGTTCACCACATATTCGCTCATTCAGCTCTCCCAGTACCCCTTGTGAAGTAGGTTTTATCACCATCATCCCCATTTTACAGCCAAGGAAACTGTGGTGCAGAAGTTAAATAACTTGCAGAGCCACGATTTGAAAGGAGACAGTCTGGCTCTTGAGTCCCTTATTACCCATGATATTATGTAGAAAGAAAAAAATATAGGTTGAAAGTAGAAAATAATTACAACAGTGAAGTAAACTGGAGGGAGAACATAAGAGTCCGATGGGGATAGGAGAAGAAAAAACAAAGAAAAAAGCTTGGGATTTCCATATATGAAAACAGTGGAAGCAGTAGAGAGAGAAATGGATAGTTCTTTAAGAAGGCGAGAAGAGATCCATTAGGAGAACAGCAGAGGACAAAGGGTAATGTTTCCTCATCAGTTGAGTTCTGTTGTTCAATAGTGTTTGACTCTGCGACCCCATAGACTGCAGCACGCCAGGCTTCCCTGTCCATCACCAACTCCCGGAGCTTACTCAGACTCATGTCCATCAAGTCAGTGATGCCATCTAGCCATCTCATCCTCTATCGTCCCCTTCTCCTCCCGCCTTCAGTCTTTCCCAGCATCAGGGTCTTTTCAAATGAGTCAGCTCTTTGCATCAGGTGGCCAAAGTTTGGAGTTTCAGCTTCAGCACCAGTCCCTCCAGTGAATATTCAGGACTGATTTCCTTTAGGATGGACTGGTTGGATCTCCTTGCAGTCCAAGGGACTCTCAAGAGTCTTCTCCAACACCACAGTTCAAAAGCATCAATTCTTCGGCTCTCAGCTTTCTTTATAGTCCAACTCTCACATCCATACATGACTACTGGAAAAACCATAGCTTTGACTAGACGGACCTTTGTTGGCAAAGTATTGTCTCTACTTTTTAATATGCTGTCTAGGTTGGTCATAGCTTTTCTTCCAAGGAGCAAGTGTCTTTTAATTTCATGGCTGCAGTCACCATCTGCAGTGATTTTGGAGCCCCCCCAAAATAAAGTTTCTCACTGTTTCCATTGTTTCCCCATCTCTTTGCCATAAAGTAATGGGGCCAGATGCCATGATCTTAGTTTTCTGAATGTTGAGTTTTAAGCCAACTTTTTCACTCTCCTCTTTCACTTTCATCAAGAGGCTCTTTAGTTCTTCCTCACTTTCTGCCATAAGGGTGGTGTCATGTGCATATCTGAGGTTACTGATATTTCTCCCAGCAATCTTGATTCCAGCTTGTGCTTCATCCAGCCCAGCATTTTGCATGATGTACATAATCTGTGACTAATTAGAACTCTAAGGTAGAACTCAGCGTATTTAAGATTCAGAATTTGAACACAGACAGGTATTAATTATGTTTAGGGAAATTGCAGTGGGGGACAAAGGTGATATAAAGAATATCTTCTTTAGGAATTGAGTATGGGGGCTTTTAATCCTTGTTCTGGTTCGTGTTAAATATCACACCCCATTTATTTTGCAGATTAGATTTAATTTCAGTGTAAAGGTGAATGGAATCTTCTCCACGGAGATCTTTGGGTAAGTCCTTAATCCCTGACTTAAGTTTATGCAATGGTTCTACATTTTTTCTGTCATTATTGTCCTATTTCCAGTGGGTTCACAGTTTGATTTCTTGACTCAAAGTCACTTTAAAACTTATTTTCCAAGACCCCCACATTTTCGTATTCTAGATTAGCTTTTTAATGAGTAAGTAGATTAAACCTTTCATGCCTTTCCCTTTCACTGGAATGAGTAAACTTAAAAATAACCATTTTCCTCTTGGTTGTGTGTGCTCAGTCACTCAGTTGTGTCCAACTCTTTGTGACCTCATGGACTGTAGCCACCCAGACTTCTTTGTACATGGAATTTCCCAGGCGAGAATACTGGAGTGGGTTGCCATTTCCTATTCCAGGGGATCTTCCTGACCCAGGGATCAAAACTGTATCTCTTGAGTCTCCTGCCTTGGCAGGCAGATTCTTTACCACTGCGCCATTCCCTTGGTTAGTGAAGTGAAAGTTGCTCAGTTGTGTCCAGCTCTTTGCAACCCCATGGACTATGCAGTCCATGGAATTCTCTAGGCCAGAATACTGAGATGGGCAGCCTTTCCCTTCTCCAGGGGAATCTTCCCAACCCAGGGACTGAACCCAGGTCTCTCGCATTGCAGGTGGATTCTTTACCAGTTGAGCGATAAGGGAAGCCCAAGAATCCTGGAGTGGGTAGCCTATCCCTTCTCCAGGGGATCTTCCTGACCCAGGAATCAAACCGGGGTCTCCTGCATTGCAGGCAGATCAACTGAGCTACCAGGGAAGCCCCTTCCCCTTAGTTAATTGGTTACCAAATTCCAGTCATCTCTGGAGTTGGTATTAATGGGCCAAAATTTGTATCAGGCAGAAATTGGTCTTAGAGTCTTTAAGATATGGCTTAGCTTTTCTTTACTTTGCAGGGCAGAGAATGAACCTACTTTGAACCTGTCGAATGGAATTGCTCTTGTCGTAAACTGCCAGCATTACCTGAGGTGAAGGGGAAAGCCTTGTCCCGCTCCATGTTTTACTTTTATTATGAGTATGAATATGGGCAGAAATTGAAAATGGTTTCAGTTGTCAATTCTTAGTGCCAAGTGTCAGAGTCTCTGTAAGAAAAGTGAAAGTAAAAAAATTTAACCTCTCTGTATTGAAAGCTATTATTATTCCTGGCTCCTTGAATGTATTCTTATTTACCTGAGGGCATGCATGTTCCTTCTTCTCTCCATGCCTTAGTTTCTTCTGTGAATGAATCAAAACAAACTCTGCTAATTCCAATTCCATTTAGGCATGAGAAGAGAGAAATGACTTTAAAAGGTTACTTGCACTCTTGGGTAGAGAGATACTATGAATACAAAGAAATTCTTTGTATATTATTGTTTGTGTATTAGCATTTTACATAGGCTTAGAAATCATCTTTCTTCCCACCTCCACCTTTTTCAGACTACAAAAAAAAAAAAAATACATGGAGGAGGTGGAAAATAAATGGAATAGAACCCTGTGCTTTGCCTTCCTGTACTATCCAGTTACTGCAGAATCCAAAGTGAACATGAATTATAGCGAGACAAAGCCTAACTTATGCTTAAGTCCAACGAATTTATTCTTTCTTCAGTAATTTCTGCCTCTACTTGTATGCCCTGAATCAATACTGGTAGCCATAGGATCTTAAGGCTTGAAGAGGCTGCCTGTGGTTTCTCAATCTATTTTCTTACTCTTGCTCAAAATTACCTCTCCAACTAGAATATGTTTATTCTTTAACATTTGCAGGAAATGAAACCCTCATTCCATATCTTTCTTTAGTAATCTTCTAGCATCATACAGTCCCTGCAGGTAGACAGCTTGCTATCATAGATTTACTGAAAGAGTTTAAGCCTCTAAGCCAGTGTTTGTGGATATATTTCCCCCGGTGACCTGATTAGTTTAGAGAAAGGGGGGAAGGTTTATTAATATTTCTTTTCTGTTTACAAAAGAGCTCTCAGAAAGTAAGCAAATACCAGATTTTTTCACAAGATTCTTTCTAGGAGTGGAAGATGTTCCAGTTTTTTCTCATCACTCCTACCAAATAGTAACCTCAGACTTCTTCAGGGGAAAGTGCAGCATATGTAAAAGCAGACATCTAAGAATCACAAGGCCAGTTTTAGGCCATTTATGATTCAGGGACTGCTGATCCCTACCCCACCCCCACCATGCTGATCTTTGAATGATCTTGGAAACTTCTGCTCAGAACCACAGAGTAGTTTTAGTAGAGGAGATAGACTTTTGAGAATATAAAACTGCCATTAGCGGCAGCAAAAGCAGGAGCCATGCTACAATTCCTGAAATGACAATTTGTCTACTTTTTCCATTGCCTGTGATTCACTGAGTGGGACACAAGTTACCTATTCCAGCAAAATTTGTGTGGTGGATTATATGGTTATGCACATGCTAGAGGTTATAACAAGAATCTTGAATTCCCTTTAAAATAATTTCTTAAGAGGGAAAAAGGCTAAATTTGTCTTACCTGCTTTTTTTTGGACAGTACACCAAAATTTGATGCAACTGAATTACCCTGCAGCAGAATCCATCCTGTGCTGGGACATCCAGTAATGCTCTTCATCCCTGATGATGTGGTGGGAATGGGCTTGTTGGGAGAGCTGACACTGACTCCAGCCGTGGCTCTGTGTCCTTGCCTGAAGGTCTTTTCCAACCAGCTGAATAGGATCTCTTCCATTTCCATATCCTTTTGATGACCGAGTCCATCAAAATTTTCAAATTCCTTGTCTTTGAAAATGGATTTTTATATTTCAATCCTAGGAAAGCCACTAGCATATAAACTCTGTATGTAGAAGTTGGTATGATTTGTTATAAAAACAAAATCCAATATGAAAGCTCAGCTTGCAAATTTGTGCAAGAAACTGAAAACTATAAAATATGACCCATGTGCCACCTGGTTTTCATATGGTCCAGTGTGACTGGAGCAGGAGTGAATGATGCAAGTAGGAGCAGTGAGGCTGGAAAAGTAGTTTGGAGTTGAATATTTTGGATCTTGAGTGCCACACTAAGGAATGTGAATTTTATTGTGTGTATAATGGGAAACCATTGAGTGTTTTAGGAATCGCCAGCAGCCTTGTACAGGGTGGTTGGGAGAGAAAAGTCAGTAATCACTAAGTACATAAGTAAGTGAGCTGGGCGAGAGATACTCAGTACATGAATTAAAGGTGTGAAGAGCGTGGAAAGGAGAGAGATCACTGGGAGGAATCAACAGAACGAGGTAACCAGTTCACTGTTGGGCGAGGGAGAGATTAGGGGCAAGAAGTGGCTGAAGTTGCTGTCAATAGCCCTATATGCAGAAGACACAGGGTTGATATAGATATATGGACACATAGATACACGGAGCCAGAAAATAGATGGGGAAGGATTCTTTTGGGGGTGATAAAAAATATCCTAAAACTGATGGTGGTGATGGTTGCACAACTTTTTGAATATACTGAAACCAATTTAATTGTACACTTTAAATGGGTGATTTGTATGATATGTAAATTAAATCTCACTAAAGCTGTTGGAAAAGATTTCCATGGATGGCTGACAGAATAATGATACTGGCAACAAGATGAAAATTATAAATAGCAGATCTGAGGAGTAAAGAAGATTAGTTTAGCTTTACATATGTTGCATTTATGTTGCCCACAGAACATGTTTTAAAAATAGCCATATAGAAATTTTGGTCTGGAATTTGGAAGTGGTCAGATTTTTAGAGACATAGGTTTTAGAGCCTCGGTGTTTTTTCCATAGGTGAGTGAATATGGTATACTATATGCTATGGCTAGCATATGACACAGGAGTAAACAAGTATATTGTTTGAAGGATTCTCACACAATATGTGTGTGAACTTTAAGTGAATATGAATATGAATACTGTTATGGTTGAGTTTAAATCTATCTCCTCCTTATCTGTTTTCTGTTTATTCCTTGTATTTTATTTCCTTTTCCTTGAAGGCAGACTGGATAAGGTATATTTGTATACTATAAAACCTAAAGCAATCCCTAAGTTAATGCCACGAGAGTTATAACTAGTAAGTCAAAAAGGGGGATAAAATGGAATTATTAAAAATACCCAATCCAAAATAGCATCCAAAAATAGGAAAGAAGAAAAAGGAAATAAAATACAGGGGACAAACAGAAAATATGTAACAAGATGATAGATTTAAATGCAACCATAACAAAATTCATATTAAATGTAAATAGTTTAAACAACCCAATTAATTAAAAGACATTCACATGTCCTGACTCTTCAGATACACCACTCTTATTCTGAGTTTGCAGCACTTCAAAGCTCCCTGGCTCTAAACAGCGAATGTGTTGGCCTCAGCTCATGCATTACCGCCTTCTTGAGTTTGTGATGGAGACTTCACTTATAGACACTGCCTCCCTTTGCTCTGTTGTGGCTTTCAGTAATGTCCCAGTGCCCACTGGATTTTAATCTTCACACTTACTGCCTCCTGTTTACCTTATTAAAAAGAGGATGAAAACAGAAAGATGAAGGAAAATATATATTCTGGGCTTATTAGCTTTGGTCAGGGGGACAAAAAAGCTTATGCAGTGGTTCTTAACTGGGTACTTTTGCCCTCAGAGGACATCTGGCAATGTCTGGAGACATTCTGATCCTTATGACTGGAGGCAGAGGTGATATTGGCATCAAGTGGGAGTGGGGAGAAGCCAGGGGTGCTGCTTTAGCATCCGTGGTGCGCAGGACGGCCCCGCGGCAAAGCAGCACCTGGCCCGAGTGTCAGTGTGCCGAGGGCGAGAAACACTGGCTTACACATAACCTGGCTTTCAGGGAGGGTGTGGGTGGGGCTGGAAAGTCAAGGGGAGGAAACCATTTTAGAGGCCTGTCTTTCTTAGTCCTGGTTAGAGAGGAGGTTGGAGAAGGTGAAGCATTTCCTTCTCAATCTGAACATACTCATACTCACTGGAAAATATTCTTTGGTATATGTTTTTAATTTAGCATGCATCACATAGTATTACAGTTTATTGGTTTTGATGTGTTTCTCCCATATTGTAAATCTAACTTGAAGGTAGGTATTAAATCTGTATATTCATGTTTGTATCCCCAGAATTTAGTACAGTATAGTGTTTAGCCTGTGTTATTAATACCATTGAAGCCTGTGATTTAATGAGTAGGATCAATAAATGAACAAATTGTCCCCATACTACACTTGTAGCTCACATTAGTTAAACGTGGAATAGATTTCTGAAGATTCTAGTGGTTCAATCTCTGGTGACTCACACCTATCCTTAATGTGGAAAGGACTTAATATGTAATTGCCTAGCATGCTAGTTTATTTCTGAGAGTGTGAACCAGGTCAATGTTGTATTTGTTTTATGCAAATGAATACATAATCACGAAAAACTAACATTTTGGAGTTTTCTTTAGCCACTATACATATTTCTGTATGGACCTTCAGGTCTGCCTCTAATGTTTCCAAATTCAGAGCAGCCAACTACTGCTGTCTTCAAAGACACCTCTTATTTCATTGACGGGAAGAAGTGCCGCTTATGTATGGTGCCCAGTTTGGATCTCAGTTTAGACAGAGGTAAATCTCTGTCTCTCTCTGTTTACATAGGAATAAAGAACTCTGTAAAATATTAGAGAAATGCAAGAAAATATAAAAAGCAAATATATATAAGAATAGGACCTAGTGATCTGATGGCTTAGGTTGAGGGTACAGGTAGGAGTCTGGCTAAGTCTGAGAGTCCACATGAAGTGAGTCATACAGGTGTCAACAGGCAAAGCCCCACCAGAGCCTGTTTTGGTATTATGTGTTAATGCTGGTTCCCTTCCCATTTCTACTGCCTCCTCTATTCCTGGTCTCCTGGAAGTAGTCATTGGACCTTTACTTTCTAAGGATTTGTTCAGAAGGTTTCTGTTGTACCTTGATCTATCAACTCTGGAGTTTTAAAAAGGTTATTAAAGTTGCAGTCACATCTTTGACCTATTGTAGAAGAGAAACATTTCCCAATGAAATGAGAAAATCCATATAAAATTACTTAGAAAAAATATAATACTACATAAAAGCAAGGCAGAAGTATCAACCATATAGTAATAAACCTGGTAAACTGACTGTGTTATTCATATAGAGCCTAACCACATTGGCTTTGGGTGAATCATGCTGAAAATTGGATGCTTAATAGTTGGGCCAACAAATGAAACTGAGAAATAGGAATATGCAACCATAAGCTGATGTCTAGGAGCTTTATAGTCTTGAACTTGACTGTTGTTAGCCAGAATCCTTTGATATTTAGTAGTAGTCTATTCAGCTGGATCCTGAGGAAGTTCACCAGTAGGGAGGAGGTATCCAGGGAGGAGGTATTCTAGAGTTGTAACTGGTTTGAGAAGATTGAAGCCTCCTGGTATAGGGATGTATCTCTGAGAGAAAGAATCTTCATCTAGGAAGAAGGCCTCATGGTGAGCCTTTTTTTTCTTGAGTTGGTAGTTTTTCCAGAGGGTGAAATGAAAGGAGGTATCCTTGGACTCCTGTAGGTAAGAAAGAATGTCTGGTCTTAATAAGGCTGTGGCCACAGCTGTGGGCTGGCTCTTGTTTTTTGTATTTAGAAAGGCCACAGACGCTGAGCTAACAGTGGAGGTGAAGGTTAGGTGCCCAGGCATTGAGGAGGACATTGTGTTTTAACTGGCCAGGAATGTCAGTGATGGCCTCTGTGACTAGCCACTCAGACCTCCAGCAGCACTCATGCAAGGCCATCAGTGGGGCGAAGTGTTTCCTCTGCTGTCTTGGTACCTGAGTCCAAATTCCATTTTCTCTTCTGGCTTTGACCCTTGTTCGGGGGTCTTAGTAACTTGAATGGTGATTCATGTTCCTCTGAAATTGAGGCAAGTGAATGAATGACATGTATTATTATGTCTATTAATGTTCTTGTTTAAACTGAACTGGACCACATGGATTGTACTTTAAAAGATTAAGGTGCTAGAAAGTGACTGTAGGGATCAGATTACATGGGAATACAAATATCAGATAGCATTGTGGTTAAGAGCACAGATTTTGGGGTTAGTCTAAAACAGTTCCATCACCTACTGTCTCATGTTGGTCAATGTATTTAACCTATCTGTGCCTCTTTTCTTGTCCGTAAAAGAGCCTAAGACTAGGTCCCATACCATAGTGTGGTGAAATCTAAATGTTGAGATAGTCCACGCCAAGAATTTCATGTGGTACATGGCATGTAGTCAGCATTCAATACAAGTTAGCTCTTATCATGATCATTACTCTTCTACTAGTGATAACCGTGTCTTACTAGCCTCTTACTGCTGATACCTACCTTAGAAAGTAACTTCAGGAATGAATGAATTTATTGTATAATGCTTCTCAGTAAATTCTAAGGAATGCTGTTTGGTTTGCATTTTACATACCCAGTTGTTATTCTGATGTTCTTCCTATGAGTCACTATTATTTGCTTCCATCATGTGGGTAGAGAAACAGATTGAGGAGGAGAAGGGAGTGTTCAAATTTAGATCTATCTCAGGTCCCTCTTTGTTTGAAGCATAGGTTGTTTATTCACTTAGCTTTTTGAGGGCTTTACTTATCTTAGGATATTCTGTAACATCCTCTAGGTTCGGTGCTTCCAGATGTGAGTTATCAGGTGGAATCCGGTGAGGGAGAAGAACAGTCTCAGAATATGGATCCTCAGGGACAAACTCTGCTGCTTTTTCTTTTTGTGGATTTCCATAGAGGATTTCCAGTCCAGAAAATGGAACTCTGGGGTAGGTATAGAAGAATGGGGCTGCCAGCTTGGATGTGCTTAAATGTTAAGAGAATAAAGAAGAGAGACTTGGGGACTTTCATGGTGGTCCAGTGGCTAAGACTCCATGCTCCTAAACTCTCCAGTGAAATCACTGAGTTTCAATCCCTGGTTGGGGAACTAGATCCCACATGTGGCAATTAAGAGTTCACATGCTACGACTAAAGATCCCACAACAAAGATCAAAGATTCCATGTGCTGCAACTAAGACCTGGTGCAGCCAAATAAATAAATAAAAATATTTTTTAAAGAAAGGAGACTTTACATGATGCATAAATCTGAATAGATGTGCTCCTGTAGAATAACACATTTCAGTGAAAACCCTTGCTTAAGTAAGTTAAATTATATGCTATGTGAGAAAGATCTATATCTTAAAGCATCACTTAGATGAAGATAATCCCAGATTTGGTTGACCAGAAATCAGTAGACACTTCCCGTTGGTCCCTACAGGGTATATTACCTTAGACGGGTAGTTCTCAACCTCAGCTGCACAATATATTACCTGAGGAGCTTCTAAAAAATGCCCACACCTCATCCCTAGAGATTTGGATTTCCTTGGACTGAAGTGGGCCTCAGGTATCAGTATGTTTTTAAAGCTTCTCAGGTTGGAGTACTATTCACCATCCTCCTGCTTTTCCAAGTGCAATCAAAAAAAGCTATCAGTCTTACTTGGCCTTAACGCCACGTCTCAAATTCAACACAGGGAGGTGTGGGAGTGCATTGGTATGAATGGCTTTGTGGGATTGCCACATCAATTTATGGAACAGGACAAAGAGTCCTTGTTCAGGCATACAGATGCCTTTGGCATTTATCTAAGTAATAACCTGCTATCAGAAGGTTCTCTCCGTTAAAGCTGTGATTTATAATCTGTTTTGTGCTCCATGAAACATGTGCATCAGAATCACCTGGAGTATTTGAAAATGTGCAGCTTCCTGGGCAAGGATTTACTCAGTTTTGCTAATGTAAATATCTGTATGGCTCAGGAATATGCATTTTTAACAATTCTCAGGTGATTCCTAAACATGGTACAATTTGAAAACCACTGAATATGAGTTGATGCTTTTGAATTGTGGTGCTGGAGAAGACTCTTGAGAGTCCCTTGGGCTGCAAGGAGATCAAACCAGTCGATCCTAAAGGAAATCTACCCTGAATACTCATTGGAAGGGCTGATGCTGAAGCTGAAGCTCCAGTACTTTGGCCACCTGGTGTGAAGAGCCAGCTCATTGGAAAAGACCCTGATGCTGGGAAAGATTGAGGGCAGGAGGCGGAGGGGAAGACAGAGGGTGAGATGATTGGATGGCATCACTAACTCAGTGGACATGAGTTTGAGCAAACTCTGGGAGATAGTGAAGGACAGAGAAACCTGGTGTGCTGTAGTCCATGGGATTCCAAAGAGTCGGACATGACTTAGTGACTGAACAAATAAGAGTGGCTTATGCATTTTAATCCAATAAAGTCTGAGACATAAATTTAAGTGTTTCTCAGTGCCCTCCAAAACTTTGAAGGAAGTAGCAAGAAGTGGAGCTTCTAAATGTCTGGGGAAATGTTCATAAGTCTCCCTTTTGGGGCTCCTGACATGTTCCTGTGTTATTCTTCCTTTGTGGGCCAAAGTTTTTTCTTGAGACTTTACTCTCTAGGCATTCCAGTGCTGTTTAGTGTGGCCCTGTTCCCATTGAGTCGTAAGAGAAATGAGACAGCTTATAACCCCAGATCAAAAGAGCTGACATCGACTGGTGCCAGTTATTTGTTGAACCTGTGGGATTCTTCCTGCTGCCAGCCTTCCATGCCTCTCCTGCTTTTCCCCACCATGTATCTGTTCTCTAGGAGAGAAGCACTGCTTTCCTGGACTCTGGCTTGCAGCTCTTTGAAGAGCCGGTGTTCCCTGGTGCCCCACTGTTCCATTCATTAAGATGCTGGAATGGGAACGTAGAAGAGAGACAATCTGTGAGGCTTCCAACTAGGAGGTCAAAGGTGAAAGTGCCTGGGGCTGTTTGTTTCCTGCCTCTGCTCGCCTGGACAGAGGCTTTTAAAAGAAGCAGCTTAGTATGGTGGAAAGGACTTCAGGGTACAATCAAGAGACCTGGGGTAAATTTTTAGTTCTGCTATCAAATTCCTTAATGACTTTTGGGAAGCAAGTCACAGGAATTATCTGATCCTTCCTTTTCATATATTTAACATGAGATTGTTGGACAAGATGCTATCAAAGCCCTTCCAAGTCTAAAGACCCTCTTAAGATGTAAGATCTACTATTTTTAGGCTTTTTTTTTTTTTTTAGGTCTGCTATGTTCAGTCTTCCCTAGGATGACATAAAGTCTGGTACCCCATTCTGAATCCTATTAAACATACTTCCTCAGAAACCAGGGTTACCTATCATTCTTCTAGAACTGTACTAGTTTGCACACCTCTGTTTAGCTTGACTCTGAAGGCCTGCAGCATCTCAGGTAGCTGTACTAAGTATTAGATTAAATTGAAATTCATCACTGCATCAGTAAACAGAGCAGTTAATATCTTAAGATTTCTGGGGCTTCCCTGGTGGTCCAGTGGTTCAGATTCTGTGCTTCCACTACAGTGGGTTGGGGTTCAATCCCTGGTCATGGAAGTTCTGCATGCCATGAGGTGCAGCAAAAAATAAATAAATTTTAAAAAATAAATAAAATTTCCTTAGACATCTGAGAGTTTAGGACTAGCTTTTGAAGAAGATGTACTGTAAGGGTAGGTAGATATAGACATGTAGTAATTTTATAGCTTATGTAGTGATTTTATTTTCTTTTCCCCCTCTTCTTTCTCATATCCTTGAAAGCTTTTTCCAGAGCTCCTTTTAGGAAACAGATTGTGCAGAACTACAGTCTGTTTCCAAGTGTCTTAAAAAAATCACTGAATTGGCCTTCTGCCTACCTTGTCATGGTAACTTTTCTATGATTAACTCATTATTTTGCCACAGTGTTAAAGGCATCTGGTGGTATAAGCAGTTTTAGGAATGAAACTATAGCTTTTCAATTAAATGACTGCTTTCAAAGGAGGTCTGACTGATTTCTTAAGGCTATTCTTAGGACCAAACTATAGAAAATAGTAATCCAAATGATATCATCATAGCAATAGTGATATTTTCTGAGTATTGCAATGTACATCCCAAAACACTTCCTATATATTATCCCAGTTTATCTGCACAAAATACCCATGATAGCAAGTGGTAAAAGCCACTTTCTGCAACAAAATGAGAAATGTTTGAAGTGACATGGTCACTATTAGTTGGTAGTAGAATTGACCCTGGAGTCTATGTTCTCTTGACTCCAGTTCCAGACCCCTTTTGAGCAGAGCACATGTTACTTTCCCCTCCAGCAAAGCATAATGGTGCCTTGTGGTAGAAAATGTTCCTTCTGACTTCCATTTTAAATACAGCCCTGAGAAAAGCATGCGAGCCTTACCTTTGAACAGACCATCCAGAGAGTAGAAAAGCACCGAAAAAGAAAGATCAAGAAGCATTTTCTCCAGGTACCCTGAAAAGTAAAGTAGTCTTCCTCTACTGGTTGTATCAGGATCAGCAACGCTAACATATTGCTTAATGACGTATTTTGCCCATCAGTCTCACGTGTTAGCTTTTCTGAAGGATGCTGAGCATTGGTGCCTGTGGTTACTTTATCAGAGAGAATCTCCCATTTAAAAGACTACACCAGAACTTCCCTGGTGGTCCAGTGGTTAAAAACCTGCCTGCCAATGCAGGGGACACAGGTTTGATCCCTGGTTGGGGAAGATCCCACTGGCTGTGGAGCAGCTGAGCCCATGTACCACGACTGCCGAGCCTGCGCCCTAGAGCCTGGGAGCCACAGCTGCTGAGCCCACGTGCTGCAACTGCTGAGGCCTGTGCCTGGAGCTGGTGCACCGCAGTGAAGAGTAGCCCCCACTCACAACTAGGGAAAAAACAGTGCATCAATGATGGCCCAGTGTGGCTCAAAACAGATAAATACAAATCAGTAAAAGACTATCCTGGAAGTTCTGAGTCATCTTTGTGAGTTTCAACTTTTTCTATACCACAGCACATCTAAAAGGATCCATACCCTGATAGTAACAGTGGCGCTCACCAAACAGTGACACTGAATAGACATACTCTCCAGGAGGCTTTTCCTTTCCTTTCGGAGTCACTGGTATCACTGTTTAGAGTATGTGGTGTATATTTCTGTTTCCGATGTGAATTAAAGAGGATCCTTTATTTGATTCTTCAAACATAATATTCTGCACTTTTAGTGAGCTTTCTGTCCTTTGTAAGTGGAAATTGTGTAGGTTTGTAAGTTGTGGGGGGTTTTTTTGTCTAAAAAAGCAATTATTTGTGGATGGGTGGAAGTGGCCTCTTCTGTCAAGAGGCCTCTTTCCCATCCTCAGCCCTGACTCAGAGCACATCAACAGCAATCTTGAAGTGGTCATTCTCACTCAAGGTTACCAATATTCTCCCTCTCTTTAGGAGTCCACACTTTGCTCTCAACTCATCTCAGTGCCATCCTCAGGGAGAGCCACAGCGTGGTGCAAGATTGCATCCAGGCCGCTGTGGACCGGGCCTTGGAGCAGCATCACCAGGCTGTCAAGGTAATGAGAAATTCACAGCTCCCTTTCTCCTTCTCTCTCTCAGAGAAAGATAGAGTATCTGGCAGACGGTGGCTGAGATCCCTTCCTCCCTTAATGCATCTTTCTTCCTCTTCTCTTTCATCACCTGGGCTGATCTTATAAGCTGCCTCTAGCCTCGGAACTCAGGCTTTAGCCTAGACGGGTCACTGTAACCACTTGCTTAGTCTTACCTCCTTGTAGGTGAGTTTGAGTAAAGAGGGGCAAAATAATAGACGGGGAGAATGACTGATAATAAGCCTTTTTTTTTTTTTTTGAGAGCAAATTTTATTTTCTTTTTGGAACATGTGACTGATGGTCATTGTGTTTTTTCCCAAGCAAAATGGGCTTGGTTCTGCGTGCCTGTCAGTTGGTTTTCACCACTCCCATATACCGGAGACAGGAAAACATTTATAAAAGAACAGTACACTCTGAACCCAAGACTCTGTATCATTCTAGGTAGTTTTACACATTGAACTATCTTTGTATATTAACTTACAGTGCCACTGATGTCTTCTCTCTTTCACACACTGAAGTGCTTTATTATTCTAACCATAGTGAAGTGAAAGTCACTCAGTCATGTCCAACTCTTTGTGACCCCAAGGACTGTATCCCGCCAGGCTCCTCTGTCCATGGAATTCTCCAGGCAAGAATACTGGAGTGGGTTGCCATTTCCTTCTCCAGGGGATCTTCCCAACCCAGGGATTGAACCCAAGTCTCCTGCATTGCAGGCAGATTCTTTACTGTCTGAACCACCAGGGAAGCCCTAGAATATTCTAGGTAGTTCTACACATTGAACTATCATTGCATATTAATTTAGAGTGCCATTAATGTCTTCTCTCTTTCACATACCAAAGTGCCTTATTATTCTAACTATAAGTTCTAGATAAATTGATAGCACATGCATGCACTTAGCCTGAAATGTTTTAATTGAAGCATAGTTAATTTGTAAGGTTGTATTAATTACTGCTGTTCAGCAGAATGATTCATTTATATATACATATACATCCTTTTTTAAAGAAAAATTCTATTCCATTATGGTTTATCAAAGGATATTGAATAGAGTTCTCTGGGTTATATAGTGGGACCTTGTTATTTATCTATTCTATACATAAAAGCTTACATCAGTGCACCTCTCTCTTATCTATTTCCCCTTCTCACACATGCTTCTAGAGCTACTGTTTCAGTAAATCTTAAATTCTCCCTCCATTTGCTAATCCTTTATAGCATCACTTTGTCTTCATATTTGGCTTTCTGAATTCCTCCATCTTGTATACTTTTGGTAACACATTTATTACTTACTATGGCCTCCTTTTCAAGCAAAAAACAACCACACTAAAAGAGTAAAGCTTGAAGCTTTTTGTTTTTTAATGGTAAGTATATCTGCCCTATTGCCCAGTGACTTACTGCTTGTCTTTTCTGAATGTATCTGTGTCAATAAGTCACCTCTGTGAAAGGAGATAACATTTTTAATGTATTTAAATTCCTTAAGTGTCCTTTATGTGTCACGATCTCAGTAAGTATTGTTGGTGGAAAGGGAACCATTGTTGAAATCCTGCTCTGACTCAAATATTTGGTCCCTTTAGGATTCTCTGAACCAGCAGTTTAGGATTATTATAAACTATGGTCTCCCCCTTCCTTGTTTCGTTCCCTAGGCTCATCAGAAACTACAGGCCTCACTGTCAGTGGCTGTGAATTCCATCATGAGTATTATGACTGGAAGCACAAACAGCAGCTTCCGGAACACCTGCCTCCAGACGCTTCAGGTTGGTAAGGATTGGAGATGCTTAAAGGTGTGGGGTTTTAATGACATTCTGCTGCCTCTCTTAGTAATATGTGCAGTGATCTTAGAAACATCATTTAATTTGATCCTACTATGATTCTACCTAAGTAAGTGTTTTATGATGTGTTCATTGAATAGAGAGTGATGTATGTACTATTTTATAAATGAGAAAACAAGTTATTTAAGATTTCTGTTTCTTTTAGGTCATACAGATAGTTACAAGCAGAGCTAGGATTAGGTCATGAGTCCCAATTTCTTACTAAAGAGTGTTCTATTACATCATGGTGACAGAATACATTGGAAATAACTGAGTCACCATAAACGTGACATATGTTTGGCAGTTTGGAATAGTGTAACAAGGTTTGGAATCAGAGGCCTGAGTTCAAATCTTGACTCATTTACTTACTAGCTATGTGGTGTACTGAGCTTTTCTGTGGTTCATCTACAAATTAGAAAAAATAGTAGTATGTCACAGGGCTATTATGAAGTTGACGGCTAAATGTGAATGTGTATAACACATGGTAGATTCTTTAATAAATGTTGGTTTTTTTCCTCCCTTCCAATGTGTGTTGACCAACTGGTATTATCAGTGGGGTAACACATTCATTCCATGTCAGTTGCTTCTTTGTACCTTTTTTCTTGAGAAAATAGTGTAATATACACAAAATTTTAAGTAGTTAATAAACTATCACTTAATTTTTGCATATTTATCTTATATATATTATATAATTATAGCCAAAGTATTCTATATTAATATATAATTTGACCTTTTTCCTTGTTTCAACAGTCTTAAAATACTGGTTAACCAATATTCCACTGGGTTGGTTTAATATAATTTAATAAACCATTCCCCTAGTGACAGATATTTGTTTACATTTTTTCTGCCAATAAATAGTTCAGTTAATACCTATATGTGATATCTTGCTTCTTTTGAATCATTTCCTAGAAAAAAAATTTCTATAAATGGGGTTAATGGGTCAAAGTGTATAACACCTTTATAATCTAGTGCATCTTCTCACAGCTTCAACTTTATGGGTCATGTGGGTAGCACAGGGTATTGAGAAGAACACTAAACCAGCAATCCTAAAGTTAACCCTAACTTTCCTACTAACTGGCTGTGAGATCTTAGGTAGGTCACCTTTCCTGTTTGAATTTCAGTTTTTTCATCTGTAACATTAGTGTGTTGTATTAGGTGACTACTCAGGTCCCCTTTAACTCTAATATCCTACAATTCTATACTAAGGTTGAGACTGTTACCCATTCCTTATAGATGCAAACTATATTACTGTTCCTTTCCCCCCTGAAAGGTTTAACTGGGGAAAATTTTCCTATATCAGCCTTAGTTGTTCAGTAGATAACCTCTGCTCTCTTGGAACTTGTTTTAGAGGAAAGCAGTTTATATAACTTCTTCACAAACAGATGGCTCTCTGGGATATATAATCTCCTATAGAGATAGGAGAACAAAGACCTTGTGTGATCGATCTCACTTAGGTAACAGAAATTGGAAGATATATAGGAGCCACAACTGCCTATCTCATGTCAAGTATCCCAGACCTTCTTTCTGCTTACCCTGTGTGCATAGGAACTAAGGAAACTTCTAACACAACATGAAGGATGTCATTGGTTTGCCTTTCTTTGTCTTGTCCTCTCCCCATACAAACTTCCTGTGGGTACTCACCCTTTGGTTGCCAGTACTGGAACTCAACATGTTCTATCTCTGGCCCTTTTTAGGCAGCTGACACACAGGAATTTGGGACCAAACTGCATAAATCATTTCATGAGGTCACCCAGCACCGATTTCTTTACCACTGCTCACATGAGGTGAAGCAGGTAAGTGTAAAGTAATAATCAGTACTTTGGTGAAAATCTCCCATATTGATATATGAGAAACCTGAATACACAGGGGTTATATATACTGCTTTAGACTGCACAATCTGAGGGTAGCCTTTCAGCAAAGAAGTCTGTGGTTTAGAAAAATTTTATAGAACATAGTATTACATAGAGGTTAAGAGCATGATTAGCAATGTCATTTGAATTCCATTTCTGCCACTACCTAGTTGCATGGTATTATTATAGAAGCTGTTTATTCCAACTCTCAGTTTCTGTAGCAGTAAAATAAAAATTATGTATGCCTAAAATGATTGTTGTAAGGTCTGAATAAGAGAATTATGTGAACTACTAGCACATAGCTACTTTTATGATGATGATGATATGATGGAATTCTTATGTTTAGTTTTGCCAAATGAAAAGCATACTTTTATTTGTTCACCTTTTTGGATACCAGAGATATAGAATTATATTAGTTGGCCTCTCTGCCCTCATGGGGATCAAATAGTTACAGGCTTCTCTAATGAGTGAAGAGAAATCATAGCTGGGATATTTTTATGTTTCTTGATTCTAGGTGTAGGTAGTGGTAGTGTTCAAGCTGAAGCCTACCTTTCTGACTTTCTTGGCAATACTCAGCAGTATTGACTTTTTTGGAATTGAAGTATAAGATGAGTAAATAAAAGAGATTAAGGGGGAAATTATTATGCTGTGGCATTTGGCCAAGATAGAGTAACAGGGAACAGATCTACCCCCTTGCCTGAAACAACCAAAAATCTGGACAGTAACAAAAAATACAACATGTGAAACAATGGTTCTGAAGACACTGGACCTCAGAAAATAGATGGGATAGTAATTCTTGAGAGACAGAAAGCAAATGAATTGAACTTTATGATTGCCCTCACACACCACCTAGAGAAAGTACAGAAGCCATGGATAGGGAGAGGGAATCCAGGCAGAGCCCAGTGGTCTCCCTGAGTTGAGAAGATGAAGCTGGGAATCCAGGGATGCCAAGGCAGCTCAAGTTTTCAGGGCAGAGTAGCAGAAAGAAAGCTCACTGAGGTTCCTGTCTTTAGTATTCAGTTGAGTACTGACCAGTTCACTCATGTGAAAAACTGTCCAGGTAAAGAACCACTCAGGATTAGAGGGAACAATAGACAGAGCTTACACAGGGCTAGGAATAGTGCCTATTCCCATCAACCAGAGAGGAAAGTCTTATAATTTATGGAGCACCAGGTAAGATACGGTGCTTCCCTGGTGGCTCAGTGGTAAAAAAAACTGCCTGCAATGCAGGAGATACAGAAGATGTGGGTTCTCTCACAGGAGATTGCTGGATCGGGAAAGTCCCCTGGAGAAGGGCGTGGCAACCCACTCCAGTATTCTTGCCTGGGAAATCCCATGGACAGAGGAGCCTGGCAGGCTGCAGTGCATGGGGTTGCAAAGACTCGGACACGACTGAAGCAACTTAGCACAGAGCACACACAGGTAAAATGCTAAGAATAGTCTTGCCTCAGAAATGGAGAGAAATTACATCTACAGTAAACACTCCTTGGTTCTGCCTAACAAAGCTCAAAAGCAGAAGCACGACCTAAAAGGATCAAGTGCTTTCTAACTAATTCAATGGCATTTCAGAGAAAAGTTCAAAAATATTTATAAGGGGACTTCCCTGATGGTCCAGTGGTTAAGAATCTGCCTTGCAATGCAGGGGACACGGGTTCAATCCCTGGTCAGGGAACTCGGAACCCTCATGCCACGGAGCAAATAACCCTCCCTGCTGTAGCTGCCAAGCCCATGTGTGCTCCAGAGCCTGTGTGCCACAGCTGGAGAGCACAAATGCCACAACTGCTGAGGCCCGTGTGCCCTGGAGCCCATGCGTCACAACTATTGAGAAAGTCCATGTACCACAGGAAGATCCCACCTGCTGCAACGAAGACCCCACGCAGCCAAAGAAATATATTTTTAAAGAAAGAATATAAGAATACAAAAACATCTAGCATCCACCAAGATAATATTCATACCACCTTGAACCTAATAAAAAAAAGCATGCTATGAAGCTGGAAAATACAGCCCACAATGAAGAGAAAACTCAGTTGATTGATCAGTCAGTCAAAATGGATCCAGAACTGACATGCAAGATAACATTAGTAAAAAAAAACCAGTTATTCTTATAATTGTATTCCATATGTTCAGGAAGCTAGAGAAAAGGTTGAACATACTAGCTAGATATATGAATGGCATAAAAAAGGCCCCAAACAAATTCTAAAGTGAAAGCTAATGTCTCCAAGGTGAAAATTATACTGACTACACCACTAGCATCAATGGCACATTACTTAAGGAAACACATATAGCAGTAGAACCTGAAACTGAACACAGAGGTTAAAATAATAATAATTGAGCATTAAGCATCTGTGAGTTATAGGATAACTTTACATAGCCCAACCCATGTATAATTAGAGAATCTGAAGAAGCAGCAGAGGCAGAAAATATATTTGAAGAAATAATGGTGGAAATGTTTCCAAATTCAATGAAATGTATAAATTATACAGATCCAAGAATCTTAAACCAAGCCCAAGAAACAAGGAAAACTACACCAAGGTACATCATAATTAAATTGGTTAAAACCAGTGGTAAAGAGAAAGTCTTAAAAACAGACGCCAGAAAAACCCCAACAAGAACAAAACACCAAAACCCTTCTTTTGCTACAAAGATAAGGGCTACAGCAAGTTTCTCATCATAAACTGTATAAGCTAGAAGAAAATGGAGTTATAATACTGAGAAAAATAACCTGTCAACCTAGAATTCTTTACCCAACAAAAGTGTCCTTAAAAACAAGTATGAAATAAGGACACAATGACATACAGTGAAGCTTCCAACTTCAACTAGAATAAGAAGAGCAAATTAAACATAAAGAGAAGTATGAAATATTAAAGATTAGAGTGGAAGTCAGTGAAATAGAAAAACAATAGACAAAAAAATCACTGAAACATAAAGGTGATTCGCTGAGAAAGATGATTAATAAGAGAGAAGACACAAATTGCCACTGATATCAGAAATTAGGTGGCATCAAATATTAAAATAATTATCAGGGAATATTATGAATACTGCACTAAATTTGACAATTTAGATTAAATGGAAATTTCCTTGAAAGACATAAATTACCAAAGTTCACTCAAGAAATAGCTTGAGTGGCTTTGTACTATTAAAGAAGTTGAATTTTTAGTTAAAAATCTTACCATCATATTGAGATTATTTTAAAACTCTCAAAGCTCAATAGTAAGAAAATAAACAACCCAATTTGTTTAATTGGCAAAATATTTGAACACACATTTTACAAAAGAAGATATACAATAGCAAGTAAACATACAAAAATATGCTCAACATTATTAGTCATTAGGGAAGTGCAAATGAAAACCACAATCAAGTAACATTTCACATGTACTTAGAATAAGAAGACTAACCATACCAAGTGCTGGCAGGGTGTGCAGGAACGGGAGCTGTTACACCCTCACTGTAGGAGTGAAAAATGATGCAGCCACTGTGAAGAGCAGCTTGGCAGTTTCTTAAAAAGGTATATATACATTTACCACACAACCTAGCCATTCTACTTCTATGTGTTTACCCCAGAGAAATGAAAGCATGTGTCCACCCAGAAATGTCTGCACCAGTGTTTATGGCACATCTTCCATATCTGTAATAGCCCCAAACTGGGAACAACCCAGTGTTAACAGGTAAATGAATAAACAAGCTGTGGCATATCCATTCAAAGGAATACTACTCAGCAATAAAAGGAATGAACTTTTGATACACAATAGGTTGGATGAATCTCTAAACAGCCATGCTGAATGAAAAAACCTGAAAATACAAGAGTACATAGTGCTTGACTGAATTTATATACAATTCTATAAAATGCCAGTTACTGTATAGTTACAGACCAGTGATTGTTTAAAGAGGGGAGGTATAGGAGTTAGAGGGAGTGAGGAGTTATGAAGGGCAGAAGAAGCTTTTCAGGGTGACGTATATGCTCATTATCTTGATATAGTGATGTTTCACATGTATTAATACATATTCCAGAACTTATCAAATTGTATTTTATAAAGATGCAATTTATTACTTGTATGCAACTTATATCTCAGTGAAGTTGCTGTAAAAAAATTACAGACACTGTTTCTGAGAGAGTAACACCTCTTCTGCTTTTCTCCCTCTCCTACTTCTGTTTGCCTGATCAGATGGGGAGGTCTAGACACCTGGGCACCCAGAGACCACAGCATCTCATGGATTTGCCCGTCCTCCTCTGCTTTGTAACAGGGAAGCCCCTATAAGTGCTGCCTTCACCACACTGTGTTTTCTTGGCTGTACATCCCAGCTAGGAAGCACCTTCCTAGGAAAGCATCAGCCGGCTCACTGCAAATACTCTTTCTGATTTCCCTACAACTTGGGAAACTGCTGCCCACAACTTGAGCAAATAAGGGCTATTACCCACTGTATCAGTTTCCCATGGATACTGTAACAAATTACCATAAATTTGGTAACTTAAAAACAAAAGGAATTTATTGTCTCTCAGTTCTGGAGTTCAGAAGTCTGAAACAAGGTGTTGGCGGGACCATACTCCTTCCATTGGCTCTAGGGGAGAATCCTTCCTTACCCCTTCCAGCCCTGGTGGCCCCAGCTGTTCCTTGACTTGTTCACATAACTCCATACGGCTGTTCCTCTCTGTCTTTGAAATGTCCCTCTGACTTTCTCTGATAAGGACACCTGTCACTGGACTCAGGGCCCTCTGTAAATCCACAATGATCTTAATCTTGAGATCCTTAATTATGTCAAAGACCCTTTTTCCAAATAAGGTCACATTAACAAGTACTGGTGGTCAAGACTTGAACATATCTTTGGGGGAGCCACTAGTCAATTCACTACAGCCCATCCACAGCTTCAAGTTTCTAGGCATAGGTCAAGGGTAAGGCGTGTGGCATTATCAGGGGACCTGGGAAATGGGCAGGATCTAAAAGTGTTCCAGCCTGGGAAGTCCTTTTGCTCAGGCCTCTCTGATAACCCAGTGAGATCTGAAAAGGAGATGATTTGACCTCCTTTGTGTTGTTATAGTGATGGCTCATAGCCTCAGGGCCATTCATAGCCCAATAAACTTGGCAGATGGCTAGTCTTACACAGTAGTCATCGGTCTTGGAAGGAGGGAACATTTATTGAATCCCTAATCTGTGCCAAGATGTTGACTTTAGTCTCCACAAAAATCCTATGAGGTAGGTTGTATGTAGTTTTCCCATTTTATAGATGAAGAAACTGGTTAGACAACTTTTCTAATTTGCCCAGAATCACACAGTCAGTAAATGGCAAGTCTAGGATTTATAATGAGGGCTCCTAGATCTGAAGCCTAGTAACATTTTTACCATATAGGACTGGATCACAAGCCCTGGGAGATGAACAGTGACCAAAGGCATCAAGTAGAATCCATACTTCTTTACTCAAGATCATTACCAGCTCCTTCTGATAATGGCCCTTTAGTGACAGCTTGTTACTGGCACACGAGTGGCACCTAGTGGCTATAGCTGAAAACTACAAGAACAACGATGCTAGGTCCAATTCTTCTACCTCTGGACCAGTCCCTCAGTTTCCACTTCAAGCAGGTGAAGTAGAATAGCTGACCTCTTGAGTAATATAGAATAAAAACATCTATGGCTATTGTATAGTTTATGGATAAATGGAAGAAATGAAAGAATATTTAGAGCTTTACAGAAGATATTTGTGGAAAGGTCACTCCAGGAGTGGAGATTTTAAGCCTTGGTGTTGGAACAGAGGACAGTAGGCCATGAGACAAGACAGTAATCTTGGGCTAACTGTCACATTTGAGTGTGTGGACTAAAAACTTAAATCCAGAATAAGTAGGAGCAGTAGCAAGAAGAACTTTCTAAGGAAAGGTATTTCCTGGTGGTAGATTAGAATAATATCTGATAGTGTTAAATTCAAGGAGGTCTATCCTGTGGAAAGGGCTGTCTCACCTGGGGAACTGATGATGAATAGGGATGTGTGCAAGATTCCCCTGGAACTCTGAGATTTATATCTGAATTTAGATATTTCTTTGGTGTGACCAGTTTCAAGATAAGATAAAGGTTTGTCTATTACATGAGATTTTCTAGGCTGGAGTGAAGTAGAATAAGCTTTCTTTCAAAGAAGGAAAAAATGTTTGGAAATTTTCCTAATACTATTTCTTTTTTCACACCTTTAACGCCATCTTCAACTCTTCTATGTTCCTTGGAGTATAATTACTTAAAAACTAAAACTTGCTTTAGTAAACAATATATGATGGAATGCATTTTTATTGAGTTATAATTCACATACTATAAAATTTACCATTTATACAAATTCAGTGGTTCAGTGGTTTTAAGTATATGCACTGTGTTTTCCAACCATCACCACTAAATTCCAGAACATCTCCATCATACCAAAAAAAAAACCAAAATAAACTTTACCTAATTTGTAGTCAGTCTCAGTTCTCCTATCTCTTGTCCCCTGGCAACCACTAATTTACATTTCTCTCAATGGATTTGCCTATACTGGGTATTTCATATAAATGGAATTGTACAATGAGTGGATTTTTGTGTCTGGCTTTTTTCACTTAGTGTAATTAATGTTTTCAAGGCTCATCATCCATGTTATAACAGGTACAGTACTTCATTCCTTTTTACAGTTGAGTAATAGTCCATTACTCATTTTAGTAATAGTCCATACCACATTTTAAAATCCATTCATCAGTTGATGGACATGTTATTTCCACTTTTTGGCTATTATGAATAATGCTGCCGTAAACATTATTTGTGTGTAGTAGACATATGTTTATAACTGTTTAGCGGATAGCTAGGAGAATTGCTGGGTCATATGATATAACCTGGTGGCTCAGGCAATAAAGAATCTGCCTGCAGTGCAGGAGACGTGGGTTTGATACCTGGGTCGGAAAGATCCCCTGGAGGAGGAAATGGCTACCCACTCCAGTATTCTTGCCTGGAGAATTCCATGGACCAAGGAGCCTGGAGGGCTACAGTGCATGCAGTTGCAAAGAGTCAAGACACGACTGAGCAACTAACTTTTTTCACTTTTTCATGATAACTCAAAACTGTTTTCCAAACTGGCTGCATTACTTTACTTTCCCACCAGCACTGTATAATGGTTCCAATTTTTGCACATCCTTATCAATAGTTATTATTACAACTACTACCATCACACTGGGCATGAAGTTGTGCCTCATAGTGGCTTTGATCTGCATATCCCTAAAGAACAATAATGTTGAGCACCTTTTCATGTGCTTATTGGCCATTTACCTCTCTTTGGAGAAATGTCTATTCAAATTTTGTCAAACCCATTTTTTAATCAGGCTGTTATTTTACAGTTGGACTCGGAGCTCTTCACTCTGAATCCAAGTTCCTCATCAGACGGGGTCGTCAACTATCTTCTCCCACTCTTGTGCTTTGACTTTTCACTTCCCTCTAAGTGTCCCTTGAAGCACAAGTTTTTAATTTTGATGCAGAGGATACCTGTTTTTATATACTTGTATTGAAAAACAAGTAGCTCAGAGGATTGGGTTCTCACCTTTGTTTCTCTGTCCAAATTGAACCAAATAGCAGGGCTCTGAAAGGCTATACAAGACTATAAAATGTGCCCTGTGGCTTCCCACGTTTGACCTCAGTCAGTCATTCTTTTAGCACTTACCCTGTGCAAGGCACTATGCTAGCTTTAAAAGAGCTACAGACATGATGAAAGTGAAGTCACTTAGTCGTGTCCAACTCTTTGAGACCCCATGGACTCTAGCCTACCAGGCTCCTCCGTCCATGGGATTTTCCAGGCAATACTGGAATGGATTGCCATTCCCTTACTTTTCAAGGAATTTAAGATGTAGAAAATGGACATAAACACATAAAATGATGAAAAGGGGCATGCAGTTCCTATTTCAGAGCCCAAGGAGTAGAGCAGATAGTAGATGAGTGACTGGACCTCAGAGAGGAAGGAAATGCCTGGAGTCAGCTGCAAAGGCTCCAAAGGAAGAAGGAAGCCTTGATGGTGGGAGCTGGGGAGGGGGTTCACATGACCCAGGAGGAAGAGAGGGTTCCAGGTGAGGGAGGAAAGCCCCATGGGGTCCACAAAGCCACCAGGCACATGATCTCACTGGGGCTTGTTCATGCTTCTGTGGAACTCACTTAGGACTTCTAATTTTTTAAGCAGTTGCTTCCAGAGAAAAATGAGGCAGAGCAGAACACAGAGGAGACACATGAGAACAGCAGCCTGGAGCTCCTTGCAGGTAGGATTTCAGCTTTTCAGGTGAGCCCTGGATCAAAGCTGGGAAGTAAAAAACCTGACTTCAGAATTTCAGACTGCGCCTTATACCACAGCGATGTCCTTCCAGGATCTGGCTGGCTCCCACCACAAGTAGGGTATTCTGGGGCAGCATCTAGAAATTTCTGTTTGTATAGTTACAGATAGCTGCGCACGATGGGGTGAGGCCCTCAATTCAGTCAGTTCTTCTGTATCTTTTCTCAGTCATTCGTGTTGATACTGTGGCTCTTCCTGGCTTCGGTTACTACTCTGTGGAATACTGGGCTGTGGAATCTGCTCCTGGGTGTAGACACCCCCTCCACCTCCATGGACGTTATGGGGGAGGTGAGAGTGTGTGTGATGTAGCTGTGATTCTACTGTCTTTACCCTCTCCCTCCAACACTTAAACCGCCTTCAGGGCCTGCAGCAGCAGGTGTGTGTGTGAAAAGAATCATAGCCACTGGTGCCTGAACCTGTGTGGTGCAGGAGCCAGGCACTAGTCTGAATTCCGAAAGTATTATATACAGTAATGCTCTTAATTCTCAAGACAATACTATGGTACTATCATTAGTCTTGCTTTACAGATGAGGAAACTGAGGCCCAGAGATGTCAGTAAACCTACCTGAGTTCACACAGCTCGTAAATGACAGAGCCAGAACTCGAACCCAGGCAGCCTGGTCTGGCTAACAGAGCCAGACCAGTGGAGATATACTGTCAGACAAAACATTGCCTAGGCTTGAGGGAACTGGGGGACTGATTTCAGCATCATGCTTTGTTGGTGAAACTCTTTCCGGGCTAACAGCTACATGCTGCATGGTGTCTATGCTAAGGTCTAAGATGTGTTTCTGAGTCATTCTATTGAATTATATTTTAAATGTTGTGGGGGCTGTTCCTCCTGAAAAGAACCCTGCAGTGAAGGCTTATATAAATTTAGATGTGGAGATTTAAAAGAATGGAAGTGTATCATCAAACACAACAGTATTCACCACACACAATTCAGTATTTGTACAGTGAAAAGACAAGAGTAAGTACTTTCCTTAGAAGAAAAAGGCCTTCCCTGGTGGCTCAGATGGTAAAGAATCTGCCTGCAACTTGGGAGACCTGGGTTCAATCCCTGGGTCAGGAAGATCCCCTGGAGGAGGAAATGGCAACTCACTCCAGTACTCTTTCCTGGAGAATCCCATGGACAGAGGAGGCTGGCCGGCTACAGTCCATGGGGTTGCAGATTGGGACACGACTGAGTGACACTTTCACTTTCTTTAGAAGAAAGAAATTAACATTTAATTCAGCACCTTCTGTGGACCCAGGGAGATGCTAAGCTTTTAGTGACCAGTCTTTCACAGTGACGCTTTGGGGTGGGGAACACTGGTGTACATAGCAGGAGGAAGATCTGAATTTCAGCCTGTTGCCTTAAAGCCCATGCTCTCTCTGCTGAGTGTTTACGATCAGGTGGACCCCCCAGAAGAGTGTCTGAGCCGCTGTGCCCTGCAAAGCCGCAGCCCTGGTTGCCGTCAGTCCCGTGTCCCACACTGGCAGCTGTGCTGAAGAAAATCAACAGCGTGTGATGCTGCAGGTCCATTCCCCGAAGAGCCTTCTGTCTGTCAGTTCTCCCCAGTCTTCCTGACTTTCTCCTCAGTGGCTACTCCATTCTTTTAAAAATCTACCCACCCTCCTGATTTAGTCTCCTACTTCACTTACTAATCTCTTTTTTCCCATAAACTCACCCAACTTGTACTCCGCCCACTGCCAGACCCTTATCAGCACAGGGCTCACCCTTCCAGGGGGCATTACTCCTGTTTTCTCAGTGCCATCAGTTATTCCTTCTGCACCTTCAACTCCTTTTCTGAGTTCTTTCCGTCAGGAGGTCCATCTTCAGAAGGACATCTCCCATGATCTTGAACTTCTTCCACTTATCTCCATCACATCTCAGTCAGGATTCTCCAAGAAGCAAGCTGCACTGTTTCCATCTCTTTCTTTCATTCCCTCTCTAATCCAGGGCACTGCTTTTCCTGTGCCTCTGAACTGCACACCTCTTGTTTGGGAAGGCCTCTTAATTATCAGATTGATTGTGCATTTATCTGTATCATACCTGGACTATTTGCAGCACTTGGCACTGTGAGACCGTGATGCACCAGGTTCTCCTCATCTCTTACCTTCTCTCTTCAACTAGCTTCCTCTGGCCACCCCCAAACAGTTCTCACACTGCACCAGCTCCTTAGCTTCTCTCTTCCATCCCAGGCACTGACCCCTGCCTCTGAGAATGAGACTCCTGAGTTGGTATGAGTCCAGGTCTCTCCGGAGCCTTAGATGGAGACCTGTCTGCTCACTAGGTTGCTCCCTATGGTGGGCCCATATGGTCAACTTCCTCTCTCCTGGTACCTTGCCCTCTGCACACACACCCAAGATCAGCTCTTCTTTCTTTAGTCTGTGTCGGGATTAATAGCACCACAGTCGACATATCCAGTTTTTCACATCAGAATCCCGAGATTCATGTGAGATGTCCCTCATTCTAATGTTTCACATTCAGTCTACCACCAAGGCCTGTCGATTCGGCCTTATGAATACTCCTGACTCCTCCATCTTCACTGCCTTCACTTCTGGGCTCTTGAGGTCTTCCCTCCTTCAACTTGGCTCTAAGCCACATGTTTGACGAATGATCATTCTGGAACACAAAATTAACAATCTATCTCATGTTTAAAAGTCTTCACTGCCTTCCGGTTTCCTATTGATAAAAATCCATTTCTTAGCCTGCCCTGATTCCCACTAACCCATTCAGATTCATCTCCTTGAATCCCCATCTTGCATTTTATGTAGGATACCGCTTAATGCCTTTGTGTGTTTGCCTAACTCTTTCAGCCTGGAACGCCCTTCCTCTACCTTGTCAGTCCAGCGTATTTCTCTTCATCCTTCAAAACCCAGCTCAGACATCTCAAGGAAACCATTCTTCACTTACAGAGATCATTAACAGCTTCTTTCTGTTTTACCCCCTGGACTTTGTACACACTACTGCTCCGTTCCTAGTACCTGTGAGCTGCACCTAGGGAACAGCTGTTGATATACATTCCCAGGACCTGCTCAGGAAGAAGCTATAGATCCAAACTTAGTTTGCACTGCCTACTGAAGCCTGAGCAACAAAGCGGGAGAGATGTGAGGCCAGGCTTTACAGTAGGTAGGGAGGAGCTGGATGGTGCAGACTCCAGGAGGAACGTGTCAAGTGACCGACTTGGCGCGAGCCCCAAATAAGGGCTTGGTTCAATCCCAGATGTCTTCCCAGGCCCAGCTCTGTGGGGACAGGGAGACCCCGAAGCCAATGTGCAGCCTCAGCCTGATCCTGTAGACCTAGTGCTGCCGGGTTTTAATGCGGACAGGACCCGCTGAAAGAGTTCTGAGGTGGGAGGGCTAAGAGAGTCTTGACTCTAACTCTTCCCTTTCTCCCAGGTTTTCCCCAAGGGTCTTTCCAGCACAGGACAGGGGAGTAAGATGAGCGGACCTGTTTTCTCGTAGGGACCGGCGAGCAAACAGAAAACAAGAGGCTCAAGAGAGGCAGCCAAGCCGTGGAGGAGACGCGAGCCTTCCGCTCTGCTGGGGCCCTGAGCCCGACAGAGGCCGCCTCGCGCCGCGCGGAGCCCACCGCGGCACCGCTGACCTCTAGCAGAAGCAGGACGGACCCCGGGAGCGGCCTGGAGGTAAGCAAGCCAAGGCCGCGTCGGGAGGGCAGGGACCCGGCCATGGCCGAGGGGTCCTCATCCCGGGTCCCCTTTCCTCCCGCAGGACACGCTGTGGCTGCAGGAAATTTCCAATCTGTCCGAGTGGCTGAGTTCTGGGCCTGGGCCCTGAACCTGGCCCCCTTCCCCGCGCTTCCACGCCCACCCAGCCGCCACCGGGGTCGCGGGTTCTCTGTTTTTCAATAAACCTGCTCCGCGCGCGCAGCTTCTGCTTCAGTGTCGGGGCGGAGTCGAGGGCGGGGCCGAGGGCCGCGCCGTCGGATGACGTCAGCCACGCTTCCGGCAGGCGCGGGCCGGGCGGCAGCGGGATCGCGTCACTGGGGCGCGCCGCGGGTCCGGGCGCGATGGCGGCGCTGGGCGGGGATGGGCTTCGCCTGCTGTCGGTGTCGCGGCCAGAGCGGCAGCCCGAGTCGGCGGCTCTGGGCAGTCCAGGCCCCGGGCTGTGCTGCTGGGTGTCTGTCTTCTCTTGTCTCAGCCTCGCCTGCTCCTACGTGGGCAGCCTCTACGTCTGGAAGAGCGAGCTGCCCAGGTGCGGGGGCTGCGCGCGCGCGGACGGAACCCGCGCCTCCGCGGGGCGGGGCTGTGGGCGGGACTTGGCCAACGGAGGGCGGGGCCGCGCCCTCAGGGGTGGCCGTGGGCCCCCTGAACTTATTGCCTCCTCCTTAGGGACCATCCCGCAGTCATAAAGCGGCGCTTCACCAGTGTCCTGGTGGTGTCAAGTCTCTCGCCCCTCTGCGTGCTACTCTGGAGGGAACTTACAGGCATCCAGGTGCGAAGGAGGCGGGGCAGAGGGCGGCGGGCGAGCGATCTCTGGACTCTCTAGGTAACGGAGAGAGACTGATGCCCCCTTTCCTGTGGCTCAGCCAGGCACATCCCTGCTCACCCTGATGGGATTCAGGCTGGAGGGCATTTTCCCAGCAGCGCTGCTGCCCCTGCTGCTGACCATGGTGAGTGCCCCTGCTGTATCTTGCCTTCTCTGCTCTTCGTTGTTAGTGAGACCCTCCTTTTTTTCCTAATCCTGATTGTGCCTAGCTGTTGACTGATGAGAGACAATAATTGTGAGATGGCCCAAGGCCCTTGGGTATGCATAGGTGGGCAATCCTGGCAGAAAACAGGAAGCTCGAAACCTCCTGGGGCCGTGCAAGGGCAGTGGATTATGAGCCTTTCCTTTGATTGCTCTTGTTTTTCTGTCCTCAGATCCTTTTCTTGGGCCCACTGATGCAGCTTTCCATGGATTGCCCCTGTGACCTGGCAGATGGCCTGAAGGTTGTGCTAGGTGAGTCCTCAGGGCCAAGGGGAAAAGTAGGCCATTCAGGATAATGAGGAGAAGGGATCAGTGCGCTATGGTGGGACCTGAGATGTTCTCTTTCTCAGCAGCAAAATGGGAACACATATCGGGTGGCCTCTAGGAGCTAGTTCTTAATGTCCAGTGAAGTCTGTAGGTACCCCTAGTAGTACTTGGGGTGGATAAGAAAGCTTGTCCGTTGCTTCCCTTGACCTTGGTTTCCTAAAAGAGAGCTGGTCCTGGGCAAATTTTGATGTTTCCAGAATTTACTGTCAGGATACTTTGCCTCGGCTACTATTGCTTTTCCCTTTTAGTCCCCTTGAGATACTGTTTTATACAAGGTCTGATAAAGCTTGACTCTTAATCTGTTCTCCCAAGTATTTATGGCCAGGGGAGGTTGTGGGAGAGGGGCCCTTGAGGCCGCTGGGTCCCTTTGTTCAACAGCTAGTCTTCATGGCTTGTCTTGAATCCCCTCCCTAGCCCCTCGCTCCTGGGCCCGCTGCCTCACAGACATGCGTTGGCTGCGAAACCAAGTGATCGCCCCCCTGACAGAGGAGCTGGTGTTCCGGGCGTGCATGCTGCCCATGTTAGCGCCGTGCACGGGCCTGGGCCCTGCTGTGTTCACCTGCCCACTCTTCTTTGGAGTTGGTGAGTTTGTCCTGCCTGGTCCTGTTGAGATGTTCCTAGCAGAGAACCAAGAATGGGAAATGGGCGCCAGGGGAGGGCCTATCCCACAGGCTGGGAGGAATGTGACCTGGTTCTCATCTTCCTCTCAGCCCATTTTCACCACATTTTTGAGCAGCTTCGTTTCCGCCAGAGCAGTGTGGGGAGCATCTTTCTGTCTGCAGGTGAGTCCTAAAGAGCTGGCCTGGGGCAGTCCTGGGTTGGGTGCGTGAGGGTGTCCTTGATAGTCACTCTGGAGGAAGAGTTGGGAAGTGAGGGCTCTAGTATTGGAGGGGCTGCTGACCACGGGCTTGGGGTGTAAAGAATAGCCTAGGTGCTGGGGCAGCCAGGGGAAGGGGGTGTCTCTGGCTGATGGGTGTGCAGTGCTGGGGCAGGAAGGGCATGCAGGTGTGGTCACTCGAGGCCTCCCCGTCTCCAGCGTTCCAGTTCTCCTACACAGCTGTCTTCGGTGCCTACACTGCTTTCCTCTTCATCCGCACAGGTTGGTCCTCAGTCTCTCACGGGTCCCCTGGGGCTCAAGGGCCCACAGGAGTGGGTGGGGAAATGGGAATCTGTGTTTGTTCTAGGAGCAACAAGTTTCTTCTCCCACAGTCCTTGAGACAGGCTGAGCCAGGGTCCTTTGCCTGGTGCGGTTTGAGAGGTGGAAGGAAGCAGAAGCTGTGTGTGAGGGTGGATGGGTGGCCATTGATCTCCTGTTTTGGGGGATGAGGGTCTTAGCCCTAGAAGGGCCTGGGGAGGTAGTGGGGCTGCTCCATGAGCTTCTCTGTCTCCCCTCCCCAGGACACCTGATTGGGCCGGTTCTCTGCCACTCCTTCTGCAATTACATGGGCTTTCCTGCCGTGTGCGCAGCCCTGGAGCATCCGCAGAGGCGGCCCCTGCTGGCAGGCTATGCCCTGGGTGTGGGACTCTTCCTGCTTCTGCTCCAGCCGCTCACGGACCCTAAGCTCTACGGCAGCCTTCCCCTCTGTGTGCTTTTGGAGCGGGCTGGGGACTCAGAGGCTCCCCTGTGCTCCTGACCCATGCTCCGTACACACTCCTATGAACTCTCATGGGCTTCCCAGCCCCTCCCCGTCAAGGGGTACTTCAGGGGAGGAGCTGGTGGGAGGCCCCGAGAACTCAGGAATTTTTGTAGGGGATTGAAGCCAGAGCTAGTTGAGTCCCAGGGACCAAGAGAAAGGAGCAGACATCCCAGGATGTGGCCGCTCCTGAAAGGGTCGAGGAGCAGCCAGGAGTGAGGGGACGCGGGGCCGGGCCCCGGAGCCGAGCACTCCTGCCTCACCTGGGACTGCTGCTTCCCTGAGCTGCTCTGTTCCCCCTGCCTCTGAAAAGCTGCTCGGGGGGTGGAATTTACAGAAACCCCCCAACTTCCCAGGGTTTTCTCATTGTCTTTTTGCATCAGGACTTTGTATTGGGATATTAAAGAGATTTAACTTGGGTAACATGGCCTTGGACCTTTGGGGATTAATCTGTTTGGGGTCTTGGGAATATGCCCCCTGCCCCCAACCTGTCCTGGCTGCCTTGAACACTAACCTGTAGGCAGGCCCACCTGTGCCCAGGTCCTTGGAGCACTGGGCAGGATGGGGGCCTCTGGCTGCCCTGAGTCTGCAGTTCCTTCCTGAGCCGGGCCCCAGGTCCTCACCCAGGTGGGACTAGGTGGCAGGTGCAGGCTCAGCTCATCTGGGCCCTCGTCTTCTACTCGGGTCGGAGTAGGGCCCGTGCCCTGCCTCCAGCGATGGAGCCTCCAGCCTCTGAGAGGGTGGAGAGTCCACTGCGGGCCTTCCACCAGGACCTCCCGGCGTCTGCCAGCCTCACGCCACAGAGGAAGCAAGTCTAACCTGAAGAGGAGCCAGCCCAGGCCCCGGGGAGGGGCAGCCATTCTGGCTCTCCACCCCTCTGCCACGGGCTGTGCTCCTTGTTTAGGCCCTGGAAGAACCCAGAACAAAGGCCCAGAGAGCATGTGCAGCCCTGCCAAGCACCAGTGTAACTCAGGGTTCTTTCTAGAACCTGGCAGTGTTTTATTTGCTCTTCCTCTTGTTTTTAGAGTGGTCCTTATGTTCTCATTCCCCTGCCTCTAGGACACCTCGCCCCGCCACACACTTTCTAAAAACATTCGTCAGAGAGTATTATGCCTTTAGGTCCCATTCTAGACTTGAGGTTGTGTGAGTCCCCTTCCCTGAGGCTGGCAGTTGAAGAAAAGGATTCGGATGTCCATCACCCCCCCAGGGTGCCCCCAGGTTGACTGTGACTAAACTATACTCGTTCTGAACGGGTCTGTGACAGGCGGGTACCGACCTCACTGGTGAATTTTTCTCTCCCCAAGCCTGTGTAACCACTGTCCAGGAAGCCAAGGAATCGTGCACAGGCGGGTTTCAGAGGGCATGATTGGGATCTGAGAGTCCAGAAGAGGCAGTCCAGGCCCACCCCAGAGCCTCGGTGTGGCCCTGAGCACTAGGCCAGCAGCTGGGGCTGTCCCTCCGCATCCTTCCACGCCTGCTCAGGAACTGCCCGGGCCCCACCCCACCCCTTTACTCGCCATCCTGACCTCCCTGCAGGGGGCAGTGACCCAGGCGGGCGGGGCTGCTGTCCCACCCCACAGGTGAGGGCACTGCAGGATGGGCTTGGGGTCTCCTGAGGCCCAGTTGGGGGGTGTGTGGACAGGGTTAGACCCTGGGGCTCAATCCAGTGCTCCTGACCTCCCACCTGAGCATCCCACACCCGAGGGTCTTATCTGTCTCTAGAAGGTGGTATCTGCATCTAATTCTGAATTGGGTGGGAGGTTAGTTCCTGCCTAGAAAATAAAGCAGTGTGTAGTTGAGAAGCAAGACTGCCAACAACCTGGGCTTGAACTCTGCCTTTTACCAGCTGTGCTGTCCTGGACAAGTTATTTAACCTGCCTCTGATTCCATTTCTGCGTCTATAGAATGGGCAAAGGTTGATTCCTTGAGTTAATAGGTGTTAAGTATGTAGAACAACTGCTTCCCCAGCCCAGGCTCTTAGTAACTAGCTAACCCTATTTGGTATGTGTATACAACAGACACTTAAGAATCCTCCTGCAATGCAGAAGACCGGGGTTCAATCCTTGGGTCGGGGTTCAATCCTTCAGGTCTCCCTCCTGGAGAAGGGAATGGGTACCTACTCCAGTATTCTTGCCTGGAGAATCCCATGGACAGAAGGGCCTGGTGGGCTACGGTCTGTGGGGTCAGAGAGTTAGACACGACTGAGCAACTGACAGTCCCAACCGATGTCCTCACTGCCTTCCTAGGAGGAGGGTACAGCACCCCGCCACTCCCACCCAGGGGCAGCCCTGTCTCTTGTGCTGAGTGGCACTAGGACCCAGAGTGGAGGGCAGGGGAAAGCCAGTTTTATTGAGCAAAGTTCTGAGACCTGGGCCTCAGGTCTCCCCTGCAGGAGGTAGCACCCCTAAGTCTGCTCCCATGGGCCCTAGGCCCACCTGCATGCCCACCTGCAGTCTCCAGCAAGGATGAATTATTTGGCAAGAGATGAATACGTGAGCAACTGTCCACCGCAGGGAACGGACAGATGGTGGGAGACGGGAATGGACTGCCACAGGCAGTCTCTCCTGCCGTGAAGAGCCGCGGACAGGAGCTCCAGGGCCAGGCCTTCCTGGCCTCGGGCACTGGCCGGCCTGGGCCTGCCCTGGCAGCGCAGTGTCCTGAAGGCAGGGGCAGGGATGGTCAGGCTGCCCGTCTCAGCGTGGTCACTCGATCTCCAGGATGAGGTCGTCACCCTCCAGCGTCATGTCCGTAGTCACGTGGACCTTGCGGACAGTGCCCTCCATGGGCGAGGTCACTACAGTCTCCATCTTCATGGCGCTGAGCACACACAGGGGTTGGCCCTTGGTCACCTTGGCCCCTGCCGCCACCTTGATGTCTATCACCTTCCCGGGCATGGGTGCCCCAATCTGGCCCTTGACGTCCTTCAGGGCCTTGGGGTGGAAGTGCATCTCCTGCAGGCAGGGCGGACAGCATGTGAGGCCCCAGCCCTGCCTGTCCCCACCGCCCAGCTGGCCCGGGGCAGCAGTACCTTCATGGCCTGGGTGTCCTTGACCAGGATGGACCGCAGCTGCCCATTGAGCTCGAAGAAGACCTGCCTCTGGCCCGCCCGGTTGAGGTCACTTATGGCCAAGGCTTTAATGTGCAGCGTCTTGCCTCGCTCCAGCTCCACCTGCAGGGAGGCCGCCGGGAGGCTCAGAGCTGGGCAGGGCAAGAGGGCAGGAGGGAGAGCAGCCCCTGACCCAGACCCAGGCAGGTCGCCGCCCTCCGCAGGTCTCAGCTCTGCCCGTGTAAAGACCTAGCTCCTAGGTCTCTTAAGGGTACTGCGTGAACCCCCAGCTCACAAGGCTGGGGGACAGGCACACCAGAGCCCTGGCACCCTGAAAGTGCCGGAGCCCCGAGGAGTGGCCGCCGTGCCCCGCAGGTGGGTGCCAGAACCACTGACCTCAAACTCCTCTGCGATCTTGGGTCCCTGCAGGAAGAGGCGCGTATTGAGGCTGTCCAGGGGGCCGAAGGTGGCAGTGAAGTCCTTGAAGTGGGCAAAGACGTCAGGGTACATGGCGGCTGAAAGCACGTCCTCCGGGGTCACCTCCTCCCCGTGCCGTTCCGTCAGCTCCTTCTCCAGCGCCTGGAGGTCCAGGGGTGGGAGGGAGGCGCCCGGCCGGCCCTCCACCCTCGGCAGGTCTTTCAGCACCTGGGAGGCAGAGCGGAGGGTCAGGCCTGGTCCCCAGACTCCCTTGCTCCTGCCCCACCCCCCATGGCGCCGGGCCTTCCTGACCTTGGAGCGGAGGGGCTCCGGGAAGCCCCCATGGGGGATGCCGATGTAGCCCTGCAGGAACTCCACCACCGAGCGGGGGAAGGACAGCTCCTCTGCCTGCGCTTCGGCCTCGGCTCGGGTCAGCCCGTTCTGCACCATGAACTGGGCCAGGTCCCCCACAATCTTGGAGGAGGGCGTCACCTGAGGAGAGGGGACCCCTGGGTTTAGGGTGCCAGGCACCTTACAGAGGCCTGGAGGCAAGGGTGGGCGCGCCTGGCTCACCTTGATGAGGTCGCCCAGCATCTGGTTGGCCTCCACGTAGGCCTTCTTGACCTCCTTGAACTTGGAGCCGAGCCCCATGCTGTGTGCCTGGAAGTGCAGGTTGGTGTACTGGCCCCCTGGGATCTCGTTCTCGTACACGTCGGAGTTGCCAGACTTCATGGTGGCCGTGCAGTCAAAGGCCGCATACAGCCCTCGGGCCCCCTCCCAGTACTCACTGTAGTCGAACACACGCTCCAGGGGCACGCCTGCAGGGAGGCCAGAGGCGGGAGGCTCGGAAGTGTGAGTCCCAGGGGGCCCTCCCAGGAGTCCAGGCCCGGTCAGGCCCCATCGCAGATGTGGGTGACTGCCAGGACGGGCAGGCCGCGGCTGTGCCTACCTGTGTCCAGGGGCGTCCCTCGGGTACAGGCCACCAGGGCCCCCATGCTGGGCTGTGACGTCATCCCAGACATGGAGTCAGCCGCCACGTCCACCACGTCAGCCCCGGCGTGGGCACAGGCCAGCATGGCTGCCACGCCCGCCCCTGACGTGTCGTGGGTGTGGATGTGCAGCGGGAGGTCAGGGAAGCGGTCCCGGAGGGAGCTGACCAGCATGGTGCAGGCCATGGGCTTCAGCAGCCCGGCCATGTCCTGAGGGAAGCGGGGAGGAGGGACGGTGAGGGGTGGGCACGCAGTGTGCCCGGCGGGGGTGAGGAGGTCACGGCGGGGCGGGCTGGGCGGGCACCTTGATGCACAGGATGTGGGTGCCGGCTCGCACCAGCTCCTCGGCCAAGCCCATGTAGTACTGCAGCGAGTACTTGGTGCGGCTGGGGTCGGACACGTCGCCCGTGTAGGAGATGGCGGCCTCCACCACGCCACCGGCACTGCCTGCTGCCTCCATGCCCAGCAGCAGGTTGGGCAGGTAGTTGAGGGAGTCAAAGACCCGGAAGATGTCCATGCCGTTCTCCTTGGCCACCTCACAGAACCTGCGTGGTAGGAACGCTCGGGGTTAGCTCCAGCCCACCCCCTCAGCACATCCTTTGCTGGCTCCTGGCCCTCTTGCAGCCCCTGGGGAGTGAGATCTGAGGCCTGGGTCTGGCGGGGGCACCACGCGCGTCTATGGCGTGGATAAGGCCTCTCTGGGGCAGCCTGGGCTGGGCGGGGTCGCCCCAGCGGCATCCGGCAAGCAGCAGAGCCACCCGGTGCCAGTCACGTGCAGCGCGGCTCCTTCTGCCGAGTCAGGACCACTGGGGATTGTTTGCTTTGCCGAGGCGTGGCAGGCTGAGACGGAGCACACGTGGGCTGGGGCTCATCTGCCCTCCCGGGGCCTCTCCTGGAAGCCCTCCCAGTTCTCTCATTTGCCGCCCTGGCTGGGCGCAGCTACCGAGACGCTTGGTTTCCGGCCCGCTGTGGGGCGCGCAGGCCTCGCGCCAGGCCCGGCACAGCGCACCCCGCCCAGGCTCACTTGAAGACCACGTTGTCGGGGTAGTTGGTGTAGCCCACGGCGTTGGCGCCCCTCAGCAGCATCTGGAACGGGATGTTGGGGACAAGCTCCCGGAGCTCCTGCAGCCGCCGCCAGGGGCACTCGTACAGGAAGCGCATGGCGACGTCGAAGGTGGCTCCTGCACCAAGAGGCCCAGGTCAGCGCCTGCGTCCCGGGGACCCCGCCACGCCACGCCCCGCAGCCTGCGCCTCCAGTCCTAACAGCGGCCCGGCCCCGACCCCTGCAGACATTCCTTTGCTGGCCTCTCAGGACCGCTTGGGCTCACGGTGTCCTCTCTGCGCCCCCCTCGCAGCCCTCACCCCCCTTCTCTGTGCCAGCGCGCTAACAGGCTGGCATCGCCTCTCTCACTCTAAGCTGCCAGGGTGTCAGCTCTGCGACCTCAGGTCCGGCCAGAACGGACACCAGTCACTATTTGCTAAGCCAGCGAACGCCCTGCCTTGTTCAGTTCTCGCGGGTTCCCTTGGGGTTCCCGTCTCCAGCTTGTCCCGGAGTGACCCGCTTGCGCTGTGGGGCCCACACCCCCTCTGTCTTCCAGCCTACCTCCCCAGTTCTCTATGCTGAAGAGTCTGTTGAAGCTGTGGGCGACGTAGGGGGAGATCTTTTTGAGGTCGTGGGTGCGCACGCGCGTGGCCAGCAGTGACTGGTGGGCGTCCCTGAAGGTCGTGTCCATCAGCAGCAGCCCCTCGTGGTTCCGCACCGCTCGCGCAAAGCCCTCGGGGCCCTCCCGCAGCAGGATGTCTCTGAAACCCGCTGGGGGTGGGCCTAGGGCAAAGCAGGCATTAGCACCCACAGTGCAGGTGGTGGCCTCCGTGTCACCGCTGTGAGGTGGCAGGAGGGGTCTCACCTACCTATGGGCACCACAGGGACGATGGGGTCCGTGGGGCTGGGGCTGGCCTTTACGGGGATCGGGGTGGTCGGGCCATTCACCATGACGTGTCCTGGGGAGAGAGTGGGCGAGGGTCAGGGCAGGCTGGGCCGAGCCTGCGTCGAGGGCAGAAGTGAGAGTGGCTGGGCCTGGGGCTGGGGGCACTCCTCCAGGACCCCGGGTTTTCCAGCTGGCCCCTGTCCTCTCCAGAGCCAGGGCCTCCTGGGTCCAGGCAGTGGGGACCTAGTGATGGCCACACAGATGGAGAAGCAGCCTCTGAGATCAGGAGCGGGGGCTCGGGGGCAGGGGGTGAAGCAAAGGAGGAGGTGCAGGGCTGGGCTGAGGATGGGGCAGGGCGGCCAGGCGGCTCTCTGGGTGGGGGCGGAAGCAAGGCATCTGGGGGGAGAGAAGGGAGACTCGGGCCGGACCGAGGTAGTGCAGCAGCTTCTGGGCCCGGTTCTGTGCAGGCCGCAGCTGGAACAGCTCCGGGTTCTCGTCGATGAACTGCGTGTCCACGGTGCCTGCCAGGAACTGCTGGTTGTTGAGCACGTTCTGCAGGAAGGGGATGTTGGTCTGCAGGACAGAGGCGGGTGGGAGGGCGTCACCGCGCAGCACGGCCAGGGACAGGAGGGGCTGGACCTGCCACCCCTGGGAGGGCTCCCCAGGCTGCGGCGCGGGTCTCCCCGTGAAGTGGCGTTCCCGCCCCGCCTCACCACCCCCACCCCCATCCTGGCGGAGCCCCCGAGGCCGTCAGGGGCCTGAGCCCACCCCTCTGCCCTGCTCGCCCTGGAGCCTGTGCTGAGTCCCACCTCCCCGCTCCTCGGGGACCCCACAGGCTGGAAGACAGATTTGGCCTTTCCTGCAGCACCGCCCCTCCCCGCCACACTTCCTCAAAGGGGCCCCAACCTCCAGGAACCCCACCACCACGCGCAGCATGTAGCCGCGCTCTGACAGTCTGAGGTCCCTCCTCCTGCCAGCAACTCGGGCTTCCAAGACCTCTCGCTTCCCTCCGCCTCCTCCCTCCCCCTCTCCTCCTCCTGCCCCTGCAGGAAGGGGGCTGTCACCCGCCTCTCCTCCTCACAGGTCCCGGCCCACAGCCCCAGACCCTGCTGGGCAGCTCTTCCCGGGTGCTCCTCATACAAGCTCATCAAGCCCCACGTCGGCCTCTCTCCCCCAGGCCTGCCTTACCTGCCGCTGCGCATCTCACCCCCAACCCGGTCCCCATACCTGCGCTTATCAGCCTCAGCGCCCACTCCTGTGCCAGCGGGCACACCAGCCGACGCTACCACAGCCACGCCTGGACTCCGTGCCCCTGGGCCTCAGGCGGTGCCTTCTGCCGGGCTTCCCCGCCATGACCACCTCTGGGCACCCCAGACTTGCCCTGTGCGCCCACACTGCCACGCCTGCTGGCTGAGCTCTTCCTGGAGCCTGAACTCAAAGACCTTCCCGGTCCTCATCTCCCGCCCTCACGGCGAGCCGGACGCTCCCTTCCTAGGACCTGTGGGACCAGCAGTAGGAAAGCCTCGCTCAGCCTCGTCATCTTGTCTGCAATCCTCTCAGGCCCAGGAGCGCTTTAGAGGCAGCGGTGCCATCTGAGGGACCGGTGCCCACGTGCTCTGCGCACAAGGGCCCCCGTTCTGCTCATTAAACAGCTGGGGGGACGGCATGAAGCCAGGGCAGGGCTCAGTCCAATCTAGAGGCCAAGTGGGGTGGGGGGTGGTGCCTGGGAGCCTGCGCTGCAGGAGCTGCCCCAGGACACAGCTGCAAGGTCAAGTGGATGCAATTCCAGTGTGCGTGCGCCTGTGGCCGTGTCTCTACGGCCTGGCTGTCACTTCAGAGAAGGCAGCTTTGTGGGTCGCCCGTGCGCGATCCTCTTGCACCATGGATAGGAAGCCCAGGCCCGGCAGGCCCCGGGCCCTGAGGCTGCTCTGGGAGATTCTACCTGTCCTTAGGGCTCCTGTCACCTCCCCCACCAGCACCCACCGCAGAGTGGGGCCAGCCAACACTGCCTCATGCCTGCCCAGCATGACCAGCCTGCCTGTCTGTCCCTGAGATTAGTCCGTGCTCCTCGTAAAATGGGGACATTTCAGCTGGGCCAAGGCATGCGATCTGAGACAAGAAAACCAGTCCAACCAGCTAAAGAACCGAGCGCATCCTAGGGGTGGCAAGGATGCTAAGAGGCCTCCAAGTCCCACTCTGCATCTCCCTCGTGTAGACCCCTCCTCCTCTGTAATTTCTGGAGGATGTCACCCCATCCATCCTCCATGGGAGAGTAAGCTCCATGCAGGCAAGCAGGCCCCTCTGGTTCCCAATCTATCCTAGCTCCCCGCAGAGTGGCACATTGTTGATGCCAGTAACGTGTACGTTGAGAGTGAATGAAAACGTTCTTGATGGGAAGTACAAGGGAGAATCCGAGCAAGAGGTGACCTGGACAAGGATCCATTTTACAAATTCAACAGCCCCGGAGGCCCGAGGAGTAGCACCAAAAAGAATGGCTTCCAACTCCCTGAACCCCTTAAAAGTCACCTCCTATCTCCTCTCACCCCATGAAGCACCAACAATCACCACTCCTTAGCCTGGATAAGAAAACTGTCTCAGTGGTTAATGAACTTGCCCAAGGTTACCGTGTATACCAGGCAGGATTAGAAATCCAAGGAAATGGCAACCCACTCCAGCATTCTTGCTTGGGAAATCCCACGGACAGAGAAGCCTGGCGGGGTACAGTCCATGGCGTCGCAAGAGCTGCGCACAACTTAGCGACACCACCACTGTTTCCCCGAGTAGCCTGAGAGCTACTTGGGGGAGGTGGTAACTTGTTTCCCTGCTGGGCCCAGACGAAAGATCAGGGTGCGCGTTCAGCTTCAGGGCGCTCAGCGCTCCCATCTAAGCCCCGATCTCGGAGGCAAAAAACTGGGAACTCGACCCTGCCCCAACAGACCGCGGGAGCCCCGTCTCAGCCGGGCTGACTCGTCCCGGGTCACTCTTCCAGGGAAACGGCCCGGTAGGAACAGAAGGGAAGGGAGGGGCCGCCGGCCAGGCCAGGACCCCTGACGCACAGCTTCAAACGGCGTGCCACCGCCGGCCTGCCGGGAAAGCGCGCCGCGCAGACCAATCGGGCCGGAGGCGGAGACCGGTTGGTTCCCGAGCGCGCCCGGCGGGGCGGGGAGCCTGAGACGAGGAGGGAGGGGCCGGCATCGGGGGCGGGGCGCGACGCCAGCCCGAGGCCGAGCCCTCTCCGCCCCACCCCGCGGGAGCCCGGCCGGGGGACATCGCCCCAGCCCTCCCCTCCCCCCCGCAGGGCCCGTGCCTGTTGGGGACCCTCCACGTGACTTGGTGATGCAGAACGGTTGTGACCTTCACCGTGTGTCTGTGAACGCGAGGGTCCCAGCAACAGTGCGGGTTTGCACCCGGCCCTGCCGGTGGGTGCGGGGACGTGTGGGAGTGTGGGCATGTGTGGGTGTGTTGGGGAGGGTGCCCAGCGACATGTGACAAAGACTCGTCTCTGGGAGATGGTGAAGGGGCCCGCGAGCTGGCGCTTTGTCTGCCTGTCTGCAGAGTGACGGTTCGCGCAGCGGCAGCAGGCGCCCGTGCGGTGCAGGATGCCGGGGCGCCAGGGTGGCCGGGGGCGCGCGCGCCTGTGCCCGGGTGAGTGCGCTGCGGCAGCGCCGGGGGGCTGCGCTGCGGGTCCGCGCTGGCCCGGGCCTCGCGCGTGACCAGGAGCCACCCGTGGGCGCTGCAGTGGCCGCGTGTCCGGGTGACCTCGGGAGCCGGCCTGGGCCCGGGTGGATCCCCGCGCGCCCCTCCCCGTCCGCTCTCCACGTGCGTGTCCGCGGTGCGCGTGCTCGTTGGCGCGCACTCGCCTGCCTGTCGCTGCCGCCGCCGCCGCCGCCGCGAATCGCTCCGGGAAAAGGTGCCGGGAACCGAGTGAGCCGGGGCCGCGGGCCCGAGCGCCATGGGCCGGAAGGCGCGCGGAGCGCGGCTGGTCAGCCCCGGGCCTCATCCCCGCGGGAGAGCCGCCTGGAGTCGGCAGGGGCCGGCCGGGCCCACGGGGAGGCCGGCCCGCGCCCCCTGAGCTACGGACACCAGGTGAGGGGACCGTGGGGGGCACTGTGGGGAGCGGTCAGGGAGGGGCGGGGGCCCCGGGAGGGCTTGGGGAGGCACCTTAGCCGGCGGGGGAGGGGATGGCGCCGAAGGGATGCTGGCGAGTCCAGGGGACGCCAGGGGAAGGAAGTTCCGGGACCCTCCCTGCGCTCCTGGCCACCTCCGCTTCCTGCTCACGCCTCACCTTGTCCCCAGAGCCTGGGCTCCCCCTCACGGCTTCGGAAATGTGACCTTTATTTGGGGGGCCTAGCTCTACAGGCCCTAGCCTGCTCTCAGTTTTGGGGGACCCCTTGGGCCTTTGACCCTGACCCCACCCCCCAGGCCAGGCTCTGGAAGCTGGCCCCCGCCCGAGATCAGCCCGGGGGCAAGTGGGCAGCGGTGCCAGCCCACCTGTGCCTGGGCTGTGGCCCTTCCTGCAGGGTGCTCGCCATGGCCCCGCCGCTCCTGCTGCTGCTGCTGGCCAGTGGAGCGGCCGCCTGCCCACTGCCCTGCATCTGCCAGAACTTGTCCGAGTCGCTCAGCACCCTCTGTGCCCACCGAGGCCTGCTGTTCGTGCCGCCCAACGTGGACCGGCGCACGGTGGAGCTACGGCTGGCTGACAACTTCATCCAGGCCCTGGGGCCGCCAGACTTCCGCAACATGACGGGGCTGGTGGACCTGACGCTGTCCCGCAACGCCATCACCCGCATCGGGGCCCGCGCCTTCGGGGACCTGGAGAGCCTGCGCTCCCTGCACCTGGATGGCAACAGGCTGGCGGAGCTGGGCGCGGGCAGCCTGCGGGGCCCTGCCAACCTGCAGCACCTCATCCTCAGCGGCAACCAGCTGGGCCGCATCGCGCCCGGTGCCTTCGACGACTTCCTGGGCAGCTTGGAGGACCTGGACCTGTCCTACAACAACCTGCGGCAGGTGCCCTGGGCCGGCATCGGCGCCATGCCCGCCCTGCACACCCTCAACCTGGACCACAACCTCATCGATGCGCTGCCCCCGGGCGCCTTCGCCCAGCTCAGCCAGCTCTCCCGCCTCGACCTCACCTCCAACCGCCTGGCCACGCTGGCGCCCGACCCGCTCTTCTCCCGGGGCCGCCACGCCGAGGCCTCGCCCGCGCCGCTGGTGCTGAGCTTCAGTGGGAACCCCCTGCACTGCAACTGCGAGCTGCTCTGGCTGCGGCGGCTGGCGCGGCCCGATGACCTGGAGACCTGTGCCTCCCCGCCCGGCCTGGCCGGCCGCTACTTCTGGACGGTGCCCGAGGGCGAGTTCTCCTGTGAGCCACCCCTCATCGCCCGCCATACGCAGCGCCTCTGGGTGCTGGAGGGCCAGCGGGCCACGCTGCGGTGCCGGGCCCTTGGAGACCCCACGCCCACCATGCACTGGGTTGGCCCCGATGACCGGCTGGTGGGCAACTCCTCCCGGGCCCGGGCCTTTCCCAACGGGACCCTGGAGATTGGGGTGACAGGCTCTGGGGACGCGGGGGCCTACACCTGCATTGCTACCAACCCAGCCGGCGAGGCCACAGCCCGCGTCGAACTGCGGGTGCTGGCTCTGCCCCACGGGGGTAACGGCAGCACTGAGGGGGGCCGTCCCGGGCCCTCGGACATCGCGGCCTCAGCCCGCACAGCCGCGGAGGGCGAGGGCACGCCTGAGTTGGAGCCGGCCGTGCAGGTGACGGAGGTGACTGCCACCTCGGGGCTGGTGAGCTGGGGTCCGGGGCGGCCAGCGGACCCCGTGTGGATGTTCCAGCTCCAGTACAACAGCAGCGAGGATGAGACCCTCATTTACCGGTGAGGGGACGCTCTGCGGTCTGGGGCCCCCAGCTCGGGAGCGGCCCTCCTCAAGCCGGCTCCACCCCTCGGGGGAGGGCTGGCCACCTCTCCCACCCCTGCTCTCTCCACAGGGCTTCCATGCACTCCTCCTCAGCTTTCCAGCTGCCTGGGGGTCATGGGGGCTGCAGGGGGGTGGAGGGGGGAGGCTGTGCCCCACGAGGTCTCAGGCGAGGCCGGACAGGTGGGGCCCAGGGTGCTGGCGCCTGTGTTTAAGCTCGCGGGCACGTTGTTTCTGCCTCTGCTGTGTGATTCTCCGCAGCCTCTGAGGCCGGCCCGGGGCGGGCCTGGGTGTCGACGGGCACATCTGCCTGCCCTGCACCGTCTCCAGGGCCACATGTGCCCAGCTGTTTTCTCTGCTTTAAGTGAACACACAGGCTCCTGTGGGCCCGGGGAAGGGGCTCCTCAGAGCTGGGACCTGGGGGCATGTGATGAGAGCAGGGGTGGGGGGGCGGGCTGTGAAGGGAGCTTCAAGGCCTGTGGCCCTGGGCAGGGGGAGGGGGTGGGGACAGGGGCTCGGACCCCAGACCTGCGCTCTGATTCCCGCCCTCACCTGCAGGATCGTCCCCGCCTCCAGCCATCACTTCCTGCTGAAGCACCTGGTCCCGGGTGCCGACTATGACCTCTGTCTGCTGGCGCTGTCACCCGCCGCTGGGCCCTCTGACCTCACTGCCACCCGGCTGCTGGGCTGTGCCCACTTCTCCACGCTGCCAGCCACACCCCTGTGCCACGCCCTGCAGGCCCACGTGCTGGGCGGGACCCTGACTGTGGCCGTGGGGGGGGTGCTGGTGGCTGCCTTACTGGTCTTCACTGTGGCCTTGCTGGTTCGGGGCCGGGGGGCCGGGAACGGCCGTCTCCCCCTCAAGCTCAGCCACGTGCAGTCACAGACCAACGGAGGCCCCAGCCCCACGCCCAAGGCTCACCCCCCACGCAGCCCCCCGCCTCGCCCCCAGCGCAGCTGCTCCCTGGACCTGGGGGACAGCGGCGGGTGCTACGGTTACGCCAGGCGCCTTGGAGGGGCCTGGGCCCGGCGGAGCCACTCTGTGCACGGCGGGCTGCTTGGGGCCGGGTGCCGGGGGGCTGGGGGCAGTGCTGAGCGGCTAGAGGAGAGCGTGGTCTGAGGGCCGGGAACCGGCCCGGGGGTGGCAGGCCGGGGGGCGGAGGGTGCGGGCGGGCGGCCTCCTGGCCTGGTGGGTCCTCATGGCCGGAGAACCCCTCCCGGCCCTCCCCTCGGTGCCTGAGGCAGGACCCTTGCCCTGGTTCTGGCCTCCAGTCGGGCAAAACGGGACAGGTCCCTGTGACAGGTGCTCACGGCCTCCGAGCGCGGGCTGCAGCCGCCAAGTGGAAGTCTTGTTTGTCTTTATAATAAAATCATTGGGGTCACCTCAGTGCTAGTCTCTGGTCTTGTCCTGCTCAGCTCCTTTACGAGAGAGTCTGGGCAAGTGGAAGCACAGACAAGCGGGGTCAGGCTGGGGCTCCCAGCCCTGTGGAGGCGGCCCCGGCAGCCTGGGTGCCCTGGAGAGCTGGCGCCTCTGTGCCCGCATCTGTATGCAGAGGACGCCCTGCACTCACCTGGCACGGGCATCAGAGTGAGGTGGGGGATGGCGAACCAAAGGGACTGGAATCGCACCTCCCTGCTCTTGGTCTGGGACCCCCGGAGGGCTCCTGTCGGGGGTGCGAGGCCCCGAGTGGGGTCTTGGCTCTCAGCTGCTCCCGACACCCCTCTAGGCTTGGCTTTTGCTGGACACCCGGGGGTACCACGCCCCCAGGGCCACGGCTCTGGTCCCCACCTTGAGCCAGGCTCGGGGTGGTGTGCCCTGCCCTATCCATGTCCCCGCCAGCCCGTGGCCCAGACGGCCTCCTCCAGCCTTCAGACAACCACTGCTCCCGAGCGTCAGCTGGGAGGAAGCCGCAAACACACCCCAGGCACGCGCACTTCTCCGCCGGTGCCAGGGGCAGCCAGGCGCTTTGAGCACATGCAGGGGCCCAGGCCCCCTGCAGCGGCCCGCGGGGCTGCACCTGTGCTGAGGGTGGTGCGCCTTTCTGCCTAAGGCCTGCGGTGCCGCTGATGGCAGCCTGGTGAGAGCTGGTGTGGTAAGGTGCGCGTGTACACGTGTGCAGGCTGAGCTCACACTTGTGTGCATGGCGTTGACACACACGTGTGCCTGCCTGCCCAGCCCCGGAACACATACCTGGATGTGGGCCAAGAGAGATCCTGGTTTAAATAAAGTGAAACAGGGGCTTCAGCCAAGAGGAGCAGGAGAGCGTGAGCCGTGCCAGGGCGGCGCGGAGGGCAGGCGGGCCGGTGGGGTCGGTGCCCGGTCTGGGCGCGCACTGGGGGGCACTGGGGCCCCAGCTTGCTGCCAGCCTCCCACCTTCCTTGGCCCCCGTGGCCCTGGCTCCCTCCACCTTCTGGTGTGAAGGCAGTGGGAGCTTGGGAGCACCCCAGCCTATCAGACAGGTGCAGTCCTATGGCCTGAGGTCACCAGCAGGACAGGAGCGGGCAGGTGAGGGGCGGGGTGGCCAAGCCCCCTGCACACCAGTCACCTGGCCCGGAGCGGCCCCAGACATGGCCTGCCACCGTAGGAGCAAGGCCACCACGCCACGTCCCGGCCACGTGTGCGGGAAACGGCCCCTGACCAGGAGCCCCGAGGCTCTTCACGGAAGCGCAGACGCCCCCAGCACAGGGGGACAGCCCTGCCCTGTGAGGTGGGCCAAGAGCGGCCACTGCCCCACGGGCTCCTCCCTCCCACCTGCTTTTTGAAAAGGTGACAGGGATGGAGCAGGGCTGAGGAGACAGTGCTGCCCACGTGGCCCAGACCAGCGCCCAGCCAGGACCCAGCAGGGCAGGAGCCGCTGAGAAGGTGGGGCTGCGGGGTGCCATGTGCTGTGTGGGGACTCAAGGGGGCAGCCCCCCACCGTGGGCTGGGCAGTGTGGCCCCCTGCCCCCGGCCCCCAGCAGGTCTGAAGTGGCATGTGCCCAGGGCAGGCTCATGGCTACGCAGCAGCACTGGCCTCTGACACAAGACAGCCTGCGGCAGTAATGTCACCTCGGGCTGTCGACACAGGTGACAGGGATGACCCAGAGGCCGGAGCATCTCGGGCCTGCAGCCTCTCACCTTCACGCCTCGGACTCGGAACTCGGCCAGGGCTCTGCTCATCTTGGTGGCGGCCGTGGGGTGGTCCTTGCCGTGGGCGATGACCTTGACCAGCAGGGAGTCGTAGTGGGGGGAGATGATGGCGCCTTGGAAGGCAGAGGCGTTGTCCAGGCGGATGCCCATGCCCTCCCCGCTCCGGAACACCTGTGGGCAGAGGCGGCCCCGTCAGGCCCAGGTCTGAAGCCGGAGTGGAGATGCAGCACTCCCGTGGCCCCAGGCTGGACCAGCATGGGCCGGTAGGGTGCCAACAGTCACACACAGGTGACCCCCAACTCTGGCTGGAGAAGTTCTGCTTCATTGCTGCCAGCAAACCAAGGGGCACCCCACCGGCTCTGAGGGCCACAGGCACGGCTTCCTCATCCCTGAGAGGAGCTGGCAGGGGAAGGCGGCAGGGCGAGGGGTGGGGAGCACGGGCCCCGCCAGCCCCAGGCTCAAGGCCCTGCTCTCAGGGCTGATGCGGAGCCGGCGGGGCATGGAGGGGCCAGGCCTGCCACCCGCCTGCTTGACCAGCCCTCTTGCCTTTCAGATTCCTTTGTTCACTCATCCAGTCCACAGCACGTGTGCCCACCTCACGCCAGGCACTGGGGACAGAGAAGCTAAAACAGGCCCTGCTCGAGCAGGGCTCCCAGCCTGCGGGGCGAGGGGACAGACGGAGGAGGAAACACACAGACGAGGGACAAGGGTGCTGCAGGACGGAGCCGGGCGGGGGAGGCAGGCCGCAGGGTCGGCAGGCCGCAGGGTCGGCAGGCCGCGGGGTCTGTAACATCCAGGGACAGGGACGGCCTCGGTGTCCCCCACCTTCCCTCCCTGTCAGGTGGGAGAGGAAGGAGCAGAGAGCCGATGAGAAACACTGGGACCAGACGCAAGGAGATGCACGTGAGCCCACAGGCCCAGAAAGGGAAGCAGAGGGTGAGGGTCAGAGAGGCGGCTCGGAGGGGACAGTCGGGGGCTCCCAGGGGTCTGACGGCAGAGGCTCAGGGTGGGGGAAGGGGCTTTGGGTGTGAATGCCCGGGGTGGGGGCCTCGTGAGCAGCACCGGCCAGGGAGACGGGGAGCGGGAGGGACAAGCCGGGGGCCTGGGGACACACACTGCACCACGTTTCCGCGTCTAAGGGACACAGCCTGTGTTCGATAAAAAGGAACTTAATAAAATATTTAAGCGTGAACACTCAGCTGTGAGCAGGAGCCGTCAGCTAAAAATATTCTGTGGTAAACCAGGCTCAGAGGAGCCAGGCCTCGGAGGTAGAGCTGGAGCGGGGCTGCCCCTGCCCGCCGAGGGCAGACTTGATGGGGGCACCCACTGGACAGCGCTCCGGCCTGGGAGCTGGCCCCCACCTGTGGACCGGGATCCTTCTAGAAACAGCCCTGGCGCCAGCTCTGCCTCACGCCAAGCAGCCAACAGGACTCTCAGAATGCAGATCGCTCCCCGCCCTGCCCCGCCCAGCCGCCCCAGCCTCTCCTCTCAGGCTCAGTGACTGAGAATCACCCTCCGGTCCTCCCGCGGGTCCGCTTCCCCAGAGGCCTGGGCCAGAGGCGGCGGCGGGAGAGCTGCAGAGAGTTGACTTGGCACTGGAGGTATTCTTAGCCGGGGCGTGAGGCAGGACCAGGGGACAGGGGCCCGAGGGCTCCTGCCTGCAGCCAGTCCAGGCCCCCTCTCAGCCCCTGGCCCCCCACGCCACTGCTCACTCTCCTCTCTGCTCCCCACCATCTCCCCGACTCCCGCATGCATGCATCCCTGACGGGTCCCCTGGCCCAGGCCATCCCCGCCACTGAGACCTCGGGGCCCTCATCCTTTGCCATGCCCGCTCCTCCCCCAGGCTGAAGGCAGGACCGAAGCCAGCGGGACTGCTCGGTGGGCAGCGAAGCTTTGGGTCCTTGTGAGATGAGTAAAGGACCTGGGCTCCGTTCCCGGGGATCCCACAGTTGGCTCCACCCAGCTGACCACCCTGTTCCCCCGGGGGCCTTTCCGGCCTCCACACCAGCCTCTCCCAGGAATGCTCTCCCCTTTAGTCCTGACAGGGCCTGGCTCCTGCGTGCTCTAAGCCAGCTTCCGGTCAGCTCCAGTGAGGCGCCCCCTTCACTGCTGGGCCCACAGGCTCCCTCGTGCCCCCCTGGAGAAGTGTCTTCACGCAGACCGAGCTGGGCGCGGGCTCCAGCGGAGGCGGCCTACCTCGATGCGGCCGGTGTCGGGCTGGAAGCTGCGCGCGGGGTCCTCGGTGGTGACCCGGCACTGGATGGCGCAGCCGTTGATGCGGATGTTCTCCTGCCGGAGGCCCAGATCAGGCAGACTCCGGCCCTCGGCCACATGGATCTGGGCGTGGACCAGGTCCACACTGTGGTGGGGGGGAGGGAGGCACGAGGAAGGGGACAGCGTGAGGCAGGGGATGGCCGCGGGCAGCCCTGGCCCCCAGCCCTGCCTGCTGATCCTCACCAGCCTCCCCCTGACCGCGCCCAGGCTGGGAGCCCTGCAGGGTCCGCATGAGGAGGACACAGCAGCTGGAGGAGCAGCTGAGATGTTAGCGGCGCCCTGGGCTCGCCCCCCAGCTCCTCCCCCGACTGCCCTGCGCCCTCCCTGTCTCCCCCAGACCCTCCCGAGGTCAGACCCTCACTCTCAGAGCTGAAGGTGCTACTCAGGGTATGGTGGGGGTCGGTTTGCCAGGAAACAGGGCCGTAGTGAATGGGGCCACAGCTATTGGAGGGTCCACACTGGTGGGCGCTGTTGTGGTCAGGTGCCACCCTCCTAGGACCTGCGTTGCAGCTAGGCTTGTCCCCAAGACCCCCCCACCCTGCCCCAGAGAAGATCTCAGAGTGCAATCTCCACACGTGCCTGGTTTTCTAAGCACACCGTCCCTGACTGCCATGCTCCTAAAGACAGCAACAAATTCAAGTGGAACAGCTGTTAGAAAACTCCAGGCTTTAAATTCATCGTCACTGAGGCTTGCGGTAAGGACAGCCTGGAAACGCCGCTGGCAGACCTCCCTCAGTATTTTGTGTTTCAGCAGTGATGACGAGCACCGTGTTATCGCCACGCATCCACGCCGTGGACTGTGGCTGTGCCCCTCCCAAGCTTTACCTCCACAGTAATGCTCTGAGAGCCACCATCGTGCCCATCAGAGGACGAGCCCAAGGGTCAGAGAGGCACAGCCCAGCCAAGCTCTACGCGGCTCGTGACCTGGGAGGACCCTGCGCCAGAGTCTGTGTCTGTCTGACACAGAAGAACCTCTGCTCCGGAGCAAGGAAAGAGCTCCACCCTTAGCAGAACCGGCTCAGGGCAGGCTCAAGATTGATGAAAATTTTCCAGCGTTGTGGAGGGGAAAGTCTCACGGGGCCAGAGCGTGAGGCTGGAGCACACGGTCAACTCAGCCTTTACCTGGAGACAGGGAGGACTCTGGGGGCCCTCACACACCCGCTAGGTGAAGGCAGGTGCCCCAGCAGCGTCCTCAGTCTCAGGTGAGGTCAGAGGTCGAAGAAGGAACTGTCCGGAAAGTTCCATGGTGGGATGGACTGGCCCAAGGCCAGGGCATAACACTTCGACAGCTCGATGTGTGCATTTTGAAACGAAGACAGGCCATATTAATTGTTTATAAAATGTGCAGGTTTTTTAGGGAATGTTTATATGCAATGCTTGTGGGAGAACCAGGTGATCTAGAAAGCTCTTTAGGTGGTGGTGGTGTTCAGTTGCTAAGTAGTGTCTACTCACTGGTCACTCTCTGTGACCCCATGTACTGCAGCATGCCAGGCTTCCCTATCCTTCACTCTCTCTTTAGGTGAGATGTTGCTTATTCATTGCTCAGGTAATCCTACGAAAGATGTGTGTCCTTGGAACTCTTCAGAGAGGTGGGCAAAGATTTAGGCCCAAAGATGTGAAGTGACACACCCTTAATAGCCACAAAAGTAAAAAACAACCTAATTATTTAAAAATAGAGGACTATGGTGATACGTTATAAATTACCTAGAAGATGGAATAGTCTGCAGCCACTTCCAAGTATTTAGAAAAAATAATGGGAATGCCTTATACAATATGACATTTGAAAGGTAGAATAAAAGTCATATACAAAACATCTCAATTGTGTCAAACTACTTAAATAGTTAAGTAAATAAAGATGGAAAGAAACCAAAAGATTTAGCGTGGGCTTAGGAGATACAGCATAGGGCTTGAGAGGACCAGCTGTGCGCTCTCCGGCAATTCTCTCAACCTCTCTGAGCCCCGGTTTTGTCATCTGAAAAATGGGGCTGATTGATGCCGTGGGGATGCGTGGCCCACAGAGCCAACCGCTGGGAGCCTCCCAGCATCCTGTTCTGAGCGCGGGGCCTGAGGCATGTTTATTTGCTCCTTTGTACAAACTCTCACAACAGAGCGTAATTCTTGTATAATGATACTTTTCATAAAAAGCTAAGTACACGGATCCCTAACTGTTCTCTATCAGTGGACAGTGAGCTCCCTAGGAACCCGCGACGTGGGCTTTACACAAGACGGGGAGACGCCCTTCCCATCACCAGTGCCCGGAGGCTGCCCCACCCTGCACCGCGGGGCTGCGCTCACTCAGTAATCTCCTCGGTGACCGTGTGCTCCACCTGCAGGCGTGAGTTGACCTCGATGAAGTAGTGCCTGCCGTGCCTGTCCACCAGGAACTCCACGGTGCCCGCATTCTCGTAGCCCACCTGTGGGAGCAGGGCTCTGTGGTGAGCGTCCCGTGGGGGCGCAGGTTCACCCACTGGGCTGCTTCCATAGTAGAACAGGCTGGCCGACCCCACCCCACCCGACGGCAGGCAGAGAGGGCCAGCCCTGCCCCCAGGAGGTGAGTGCCCAGCCCCCGCCGCTGGGCCCCGGTCTGGACGTCACCCCAGGCGCCCTGGAGCCTCTGAAGGCTGCGCCCAGCTTGTCCAGGTGGGACCTGAGCAGAGCTCCCACCCACCCAGACGCCGCCCTCGCCCCCAGCGGCTCCTCAGCTTTGGGACGTGGGCCCTACCCGTGTGTACCCTGGCCTCTCCCGGATCCTCCTGATGCTTAGAGGGTCTTCAGAAAGCTCCCCTCTGCTTTACCCCGCCATCGCCTCTGGGTACTACCCAAAGAGACACCGTCTGAGAGGGACCTCATCGACAGATGAGGCTGTACCTCAAAACGCACGCCTCACTCTAGCTTCACTTCTGGTCCCACCAAAACCACAGCCTAGACTTCACTCCCTCAAATCTGTTCTGGAGTGAGACACTTCAAAGCCAATAAGTAAGACCAAACTCAAGGCAAAAAACTCCTATGAAGGAAGCAAAACCTAAACTATAATCAGACCATAATTAACACCTCTCGTTAGCCATGGCTGGAGCCTCACTGGCTTTCTGTTTGGGGAAGGTCCCAGCAGTGTCTGTGGTCTGGGGCCTGGGCTGCCTGGGAGCCTGAGGGGGCTCAGCCGGGCGGAGGGGGCGGCGGACCCGAAAATAGGCCCCCTCGGGGCTCTGGGAGGGGAGGCCGAGGCCGGGGCAGGGTGACTGGCCTCTGAGTTGGGCTGGGGTCGGGGCACCAGAAGAGAGAGCGGGCCCCTGCTCCAGCCTGGCCAGCCCGGCGGGTGCTCACTCCACGTCCCCCAGACTACAGACAGGAGGCGGTGGCCCTGGGCCGTGAACGGGGTGCAGGAGATAGGATGCCGGGGACGGTTAGGCATGAGTGAGGAGAAAACACTTGAACACCACTCCTTAATCCTGACGGAAGGCCCTGGTCTGACTCCCTCTGTTCCCGGGGCTCGCTGGTGCCCCCCGGAAGCTCGGTGAGTGCTGAGGGCAACTGAGGCGAGGCCAGTGGCTCTCTCCCTCCTCCTCACAGCCCTTCCGGCCTCCAGGTCTGGCGTCTGGGCCCAGCGCCTCCGTGACTGCACAACGGGGATCCCAAGGGCCCGCCATCGGCCCTCGGCCGCCTCCTGCCCTCCCGGAGTCGGTCACCCTGAGCCTCCCTGCCCCACAGCAGCTGGCCACCCTGGGCCCCCCACGACCGCTGTGTGTGAGGCTGTGTCCGCGGGAGCTCAAAGCAAGCTGGTGGGAGCAGGCTTCTTGTTTCCACGTGGGGAGGAGGCCGCTGCACGCGTGGCTCTCAGCTCTGTCCCCGGGAGCCCCTGCCCCCCACCTGCTTTGCAAGCTTGACGGAGTCGCTGGTGAGCCGGGTGCGCAGCTGGGGGTCCAAGTGGGCAGCCGGGGCGATCTCCACGACTTTCTGGTGCCGCCGCTGGATGGAGCAGTCCCGCTCGTACAGGTGAAGGATGTTCCCGTACTGGTCCCCTGGGGTGTGCATAAGCTGGGCTCAGCCCCCCGGGGGATCCGGACACCCCCGAACCCCAAGATGAGCACCGTGGCTGCTCAGCGCTGCTCCTAGGGGTGGCTCAGCGGTGGCTCAAAACCTCAGGTCTGACCAGCCCGGCACCCGCAGCCCACCTTCCCAGGGAGGGTCCGCAGAGGGAGAGCTCTGGCAGCTTTCTCAAAGCCCAGGAAGACCAGGGGCCCCACTACCTCGTGCTGCTGCCCCTGGAACGCCCCACTCACCCAGGATCTGCACCTCGATGTGGCGTGGCTTCTCGATGAACTTCTCCACGAATAGCGCCCCGTTCCCGAAGGCAGCCAGAGCCTCTGAGTAGGCCCGGGTGTAGTTCTCCTCCAGCTCCTGGGAAGGCAGGCAGGGGCCCAGGAGACGGTGGGGCCTGAGCTCTGCCTTCCTCCCAGCGCCCCCTCCCTGGTCCCTCTGCAGGTGGCCGCCCAGCCTCAGCTTCTGCTCACCTCGTAGCTGTGCACGACCCTCATGCCGCGCCCCCCGCCCCCGTAGGCGGCCTTGAAGATGATGGGGAAGCCGTAGGTGTTGGAGAACTCATGGGCCTCGTGCAGGGAAGTGATGGGGGCATCCGTGCCGGGCACCACGGGGACTCCTGTTGGCAGATGGGCAGGTGAGGCCACAGCCTGCCAGCCCCATCCCAGGCCCCTCAAAGGAGCCAGGTGGCCCCCACCCTCACCTGCGGCGATGGCGATGGCCCGGGCCTCCACCTTGTCTCCCATCTTGCGGACCACCTCTGGGCTCGGCCCAATGAATCTGACCCCAGCATCCTGGCAGGCCTGGGCAAAGTCGGCCCGCTCTGACAGGAACCCATAGCCTGGGTGCACGGCGTCCACATTGTTTTCCTGGTGGGCAGGCAGGGGTGGTCAGAAGCGAGGAGCACCCCTCAAAGCCCTTCACACAGCCCCCCAGCCCTGCGGCCCTCCCACCTGTCTCACCTCACTTGCTCCATTCAATGGCTCATTTACTCATTCACTTATTCATTCCTTCAGTCACTCATTCAGTCACTCACTCATTTGCTCATTCATTTGCTTAGTCACCCATGCATGCAGTCACTCATTCATTCACGTAGTCACTCATTCAGTCATTCTGTCACTCATTCATTCACCTTTTCACAGGGACTTTCGCCAGGGAGCACTGGAGATGAGAGGCAGGGGGGGCAGGCACAGAGCCCAGTCCCAGCTCTCAAGAGGCCCCCATCCCCACCTGGCCCCTCACCTTGGCGACTTTAATGATGTCTGGAATGTGCAGATAGGCCTGCACCGGGGCGAGCCCCCGGCCGATGAGGTAGGCTTCATCAGCTTTCTGTCGATGCATCTGGCCCGTGTCCTGCTCCGAATAGACGGCCACTGTGCGGATGCCCAGCTCCGTGCAGGCCCGGAACACGCGGATGGCGATCTCGCCTGGGGGGGCGGGGGCAGGGTAACAGGACGAGACGTTAGACCCTGGGGTCCTAAGAGACACAGAAACAGGGGCATGGAGCGAGGGCAGGCTCCCACTGTGCTCACCTCTGTTGGCCACCATGACCTTCTTGATGGGCTTGTACTCCAGGCGCCGGACGTTCGGAGAGGCAGCGGTGGCGGTGGAGGTCCGGCGGATAGCCAGGAGCCTCAGGCTCCCCCGGACAGTCTGAAACTTCAGCATCTAGAGAAGGAGGTCAGAGCCCACTTAGAGCAGCCCCATAGTGGCCAGCACCACCGCTGCCTCAGTTCCTGGCCAGGCCCAGCATTCCCTGCAGGCTGACTGGCTGTGGCGAAGGGAAGAAAGTCATCCCCAGCTGGCATCCCAAGCTCACCCTAATACTCTCATACTCTGAATTCTAAAGCAGCCACTCTTCAAGCTTTTACAACAATTTCAGAGGCCAGCAAGCGGCCCTGGGTGACCGCGGTGTGTAAGGTCAGTGTCAGTCCGGGCCCCAGGCTTTAGAACCTTCCGGCCCCACACTGACCCCTGCGGCCCTCCCTCGGGGTTCTGTCTGGCTGGGCAGGGAGGGTGACGGTGGGGGTCCGCAGGAGCGGACCTGCAACAATGTGCCCTCCGGAAGCGCAGCCCCTGCTCAGATAAAATGCAGATTTCTTCAAACTGCAGGAACCATCCTTTCTACAAGGGCTACTCAGTAAGTTAGTCATGAAAGCCAGCTGCAGGCCAGTGAAACTGGCCAGTCACAAAAAGACAAATGCTGCGTGACTCCACTTAGATGAGGCTCCCAAGTCACCGCATTCACAGAGGCAGACAGCGGGAGCGTGGGGGCCAGGGGCGGGCGGCGGGGGTGTTAGTGCTTAAAGGGGACAGTGTCAGTGCCGCAGGAGCGCTAAGCCCAAGCTCCACACCCGCTGAGCCCGCGAGCTGCCGCTCCTGAAGTCCACGCGCGCTAGAGCCCATGCTCGGCAACAAGAGAAGACACCGCAGTGAGAAGCCCGCACGGCCACGCAGAGCCCCCTGCTCCCCTAAACTGGAGAAGGCCCACGCGCAGCGAGGAAGACCTAGCGCAGCCATAAATTCATTCATTCATTCATTAAAAAAATAATAATAAAGGGGACAGAGTTTCCATTCTGTGAGATTTAGAAGTTCTGGAAATGGCTGGAGGTGACTCTTGCACAACGATGTAAGTGGATGTAACGCCACTGGCCTAACCACACACTTAAAAACAGTTACGCGAACAAATTATGTCACACACTTTTTTTTCAGAATGAAAAAATTTTAAAAAGCCACAGAAGGCAATTTCCCTCCCAGAATGCAGAACATCCTCGGAGACTGACCATCCCCCTCATTTCACAAATGAAGAAAACCAAGGCCCCGAAAAGCTTTAAAACATGTGGTCAGAGTCACACAGCTGTTACAGCAAAGCCCAAACGGCCCTCCGGCCCTTCAGCCCTGCTCCCGTGCCTCCACCCAGCTAAGCGTGTCGGATTTCTTCACAAAGTTTACATGCCTGACTCACTCATCTTAAGTAAGGAACACTATGGGCAACCTGGTAGCTCAGGTGGTAAAGAACCCACCTGTAATGCAATGCAGGAGACATAAGAGACGTGGGTTTGATCTCTGGGTTGGGAAGACCTCTGGAGAAGGAAATGGCAACCCACTTCAGTATTTTTGCCAGGAGAACCCCATGGACAGAGGAGCCTGGAGGGCTACAGTCCACGGGGTCGCAAGAGAGTCAGACACAACCGAGCGACTAAATCACCACCAAGGAACATAAAAATATATTCAATAAATAAGATACTGCTAGAACCTCACAGTGTCATATTGTGGCCAACAAGACTGAGAAGGGGAAATAAAGACCAAGTAGAAAGAAAAGAGGAGAAGGCAATGGCACCCCACTCCAGTGCTCTTGCCTGGAAAATCCCATGGACAGAGGAGCCTGGTGGGCTGCAGTCCATCGGGTCGCTAAGAGTCAGACACGACTGAGCGACTTCACTTTCACTTTTCACTTTCATGCATTGGAGAAAGAAATGCAACCCACTCCAGTGTTCTTGCCTGGAGAATCCCAGGGACGGGGGAGCCTAGTGGGCTGCCGTCTATGGGGACACGACTGAAGCAACTTAGCAGCAGCAGAAAGAAAAGAGGAGAGAAGAAATTAGGAGATAAATAGAAGAAAGAGAAAAAGAGGGAAGCCCTTTGACCAGAAGGAGAGAAGGCAGCCCTTCAAGCATCAACCGTACCGGGCACAGCACCAGGGCAGGGCAGGAATGTCTCAGCTCTCACAGGAGGCCAACCCAGGGAAGGAGAAAAGGAAAGGGGAAAAAACAGACAGAAATAGGTCCTCTCAGATCACGGTTAATGCCTCATGGGCAAGAAAACAGGTAATTTTTTTTGCAAATTACTGGGCAGGAACCTGAACGCGCAAGCAGTAGCCACATCGAGATCTGACCTGCAGGGCATACACCCCAGGAGAGTAACAGCCATGGCCGAGGACTCGAGGGCCGCCTCTGCAACCTGTCTGTGGGCCCGAGGGAAACAAGCCACAGTCCAGCTGACACCAGAGGAGGAGATCTCGGAGGAGCCCAGGACCTGCTCACAGTCAATGCCAAGTACCAGCTGGGCCTCGGACATGTGACTTCCACACCTTCCTGAAAACCACTGAGCTTCTGACGCTCTCGTCATCTCCCCCTCACAGGTCTACCAGCAGCACCCACTGCACTGGCTTCTGGCTTCAGCCGCCCACCCAGCTGGAGGGAAGCACTTTCCCAGCAGAGCAGCCTGGAGCAGGCAGGCCCTGGCAGTCAATGGCGCACACCCCGGGGAGCAAGTGTGGGGATGGATCTTGCCCCTATCCTGGGCACCAGATGCCTGCTCTGCTCAAGGCTGCAGGCAGGATCTGTGGGACGAGGCAGAGTAGAAAGAGCCCAAATGGCCATGAGGGTCAAGTGAAGAAAGGCACAGTGTTCTCCAGGACAAGTGTGGTGCAGAACAGTAGATACAAGTGGCTAACGAACTGTTAACAGTCCCACCTCACCAGAAATCACCACGTTCAAAGGAGAACATGGGGGTGTTGCTTGTGCCTATGAAATTAGCAAGAGAGTTGTGAACAATCAGATTTAGTGCTGCTAAGGCCTCTGGGCCTTATTTTCTTGGGCTTCAAGAAATCACCGTGGACGGTGACTGCAGCCATGAAATTAAAAGATGCCTGCTTCTTGGAAGGAAAGCTATGACAAACCCAGACAGTGTATTAAAGAGACGTTACTTTCCTGACAAAGGTCAGTATAGTCAAAGCTATGGTTTTTCCAGTAGTCATGTAGGGATGTGAGAGTTGGGCCATAAAGAAGGCTGAGCGCAGAAGAATCAATGCTTTCCAAACCAGTCAATCCTAAAGGAAATCAACATGAATATTCATTGGAAGGACTGATGCTGACTTGGCCACCTGATGCAAAGAGCCACCTGATGCGAAGAGCTGACTTTGGCCACCTGATGCAAAGAGCTGACTCATTGGAAAAGACCCTGATGCTGGGAAAGATTGAAGGCAGGAAGAGAAGGGGACGACAGAGGATGAGATTAGCATCACTGACTCAATGGACACGAATCTAAGCAAACTCTGGGAGATAGTGGAGGACAGAGGAGTCTGGTGTGCTGCCATCCATGGGGTAGCAAAGAGTCGGACACAACTTAGCAGCTGAACAAAAACAAGGTCTCTGGGAAGCAGGCCCACAGGTGAGTTCTAGAGATCAGGGCAGCTCTCTGAAAGCAGTTCACAAAACCTATCAAGAGTCTTTTAAAACATTTATGCCCCTTGGTCAGGCAATCATCAATGTAGGAATCCAACCCCAAAATATTCTAAAATGGGAACAAGATGGATGCATAAAGATGTTCAGATTAGCATTATTTACAATAGTAAATGACTAGAAGCCACTTAAAGAGCCAGTATTAGGGCATCAATACAAACGGACATTATATAACCATGAAAAATGGCAGCAGAGTTTTGATGACATGGGAAATGCTTGTGATATAATACGATGCTTTTTAAGAAGGCAAATAATATGATCTCATTAAATTTTACTTAGAGCAAGAAAAATAACTAGCAGGAACTCAGCATTCACTTACTCCTATGTTCTAGAATTGGCAAGGTGTTGCGTTTTTTTCCTTGTTCCTTCTGTTTCTCTACACGTTCTATAATATGGTTTTTCCAGTAGTCATGTACAGATGCAAGAGTTGGACCATAAAGAAGGCTAAGCACTGAAGAATCAATGCTTTTGAACTGTGGTGCTGGAGAAGACTCTTGAGAGTCCCTTGAACTGTAAGGAGATCAAACCAGTCCATCCTAAAGGAAATCAACTCTGAATATTCATTGCAAGGACTGATGCTGAAGCTGAAGCTCCAATACTTTGGCCACCTGATGCGAAGAGCCGACTCACTGGAAAAGACCCTGATGCTGGGAAAGACTGAAAGCAGGAGGAGAAGGGGATGACAGAGGATGAGATGGTTGGATGGCATCACCAATTCAATGGACATGAGTTTGAGCAAACTCCAGGAGATAGTGAAGGACAGGGAAGCCTGGCGTGCTGTAGTCCATGGGGTTGCAAAGAGTTGGACATGACTTAACAACTGAACCGCACTGATACGTTCTGCATTTTCTCCAGTGGGGATTATTATTTATAATCAGAAAAGAAAATGAAGAAATATACAGAGGGAACAGGAAGACCTTTGCAGAGAAAAGCCAAGAGGAGTTCCTGAAGGGTCCTTCTCAGTGCGGTGACTGGCCTTGGCTTCCATCCTGTAAAACAACCCCTTCTAGGGGGGCTGGCCTCCCAGAAGGCCCATCCCACCGCCCACACGCAGCAGGGCCACTGCATCTTCCTCACCTGTTGGCCAGGGCAGCCTGCTACAGGTCTTCCTCCCTGTCTGCAGGTGAGCAGCCTCACAGTGGGTTCCACTGGCATGGAGACTCTCCACCCCCAGGGACGTGTCATCCTGGGCAGGGAGGCCTGCCCTTTTCTCCCACATGGATGGGTTTATCCCTGCGGACCCCTCAGGCACTTACGCATCTTGTGGGTTAATAGGTCATATCTGTCCCCACCCCCACCACACACACTCCCGATCCCTTTTCCAATAAAGAGAGAAATCCCTGGAGGCTCTGCTCACAAGGTAGGGGTGGAGAGGGAGGACCAAGAGCCTCCCCAGCTCAGTCAGGAAACAAGGAAGTCTGAATT